GAGACAACCAAGGCGGGCGTCAAGGTTAAGTTCGCCGGCACCACCAAGACTGTCACCATCAACCCGCACGCCAATGTCTTCAACCGCCCCATTACCGCCGTCAAGAACAAGGACGACTACCTGGGTCCCCGCCCGCATGTCGATACCGAGGCCGACATTGACATGCTGATTGAGGAGTGCCGCGGCACCTATGCTGGCATTGAGAAGATGAGGAAGCCCTTTGATTGCCTGAAGTTCTTTGCAGAGGGCGAGGATCGCTACTACAGCCTGCCAGAGCCCGCCGAACGAGCCAGCGCCCAAGACCCCCGCAACGCCGACTTCATCAACGCAGACGGACACGGCAAGACGCTTGAAAGCTACACCCCTGTGAACGACGCGATTGCTGCCAACGGAACCAACATCGGCACCTGCCCTGGCCCTATCATCCCATACCACACCTACTGGACTGGCCCTGCGACCTGGCGAGTCGAGGTCTTCATCAAGAGTTACCTCTACACTCAGAATCTGGCTTGCTCTCGTCTTTGGCTATGGCTTGACACCGACCACAACCCGAACGCTGTCGAACACATGCTGAACAAAGATGCCCTATTTGCCCGTTTCCTGCCTCTAGTCGAGCGAGGTGACATTGTTGTCATGCCCTGGAAGTTTCCTAACCGCATCCCACTGGCCACCGACAAGGAGGACAAGAACGGTTTCGATTACTACAGCAAGCCCGGCGCCGTGAACGCCAAGGGAGAGAAGGACGTGGCCGAGAACATTATTGAAGACAAGGATGGCCAGCAGTGGCTCGTTCTGACCCAGAAGCAGATGACATTCCTTCCGGTCGCCGTATCCGATGCCGTTCGCTTCATTGTATTACACATCTATGGCGGTGCTTACTTCGACATGGATGTTTTGATGCTCCGGGACATGCGACCTCTTCTACTGCCGAAAGAGCATGCCTGGGCAGAAAGATGGGCAGCACACCCTCACCCCGGTGATTACAACACTGCCATCATGTCCCTCTCGGCAAACTCCTCCCTCTCATCCTACCTGCTCTACGGCGGTATCAGAATGGGCGTCAACTTTCATCCCCGCGTGCTTGGTCGCATGGCCTGGAAAGACGGACGCGACCAGGAGTTCAAGATGTTCGAAACCGCTGCCTTTGATCCCATCTGGACAGAGTTCAACTGGGACCGCGAAGGACGCTGCACAGTGCCTTGTATCCGAGACTACAGCGCAGTCTTCAAGGGCAAGATTGGTGGCGTCAAAGACGAATGGGAGAGCTACGACGGCCCACAGCTCAACCGCATCGACCTCAAAGACGCGCAACGCAAAGAGCTCAGGATGCCCGCCAGCGACTCCTTGGCCAAACGCGGGGAAGAAAACGTACCCGCGTCCGCTGCCCTGCCAACCCCCAATCACGGCGACAAAGAGCACCCCGATTCGTTCCAAGCCACGCTTGACGAGGAGGCTGAGCTGAGAAAAGCTGGTGTGATTACTGACTACGTCTTGTCGGAAGACAAATTCCCTCCCAACAACCGCACGCTGGAGAACTTCTTCCGGGGTGCCTGGACATATCACATTCACAACCAGGTAAGTCTCAACAAGAATTTCCCACATGTTGGTTTGTTGCCACCCCAACCCCGCTTCTGCGCATCTATAGTCCGATGTCCCTGCAGTCAGTATCTTGGCAACGGCTTCTTCCCCACATAAAAGACGGAAAAGCAAAGAATACACGCTAACAATGCATCGCAGTGGATGAAGCATCCAGAACCCTCGTCATGGATCTCAGTCCTCGAACACGCCCACGACGGATTCATTGCCGGCAAGCGCACGAACCCTTATGGCGAGAAATGGACTGGTCCTACCCTCATGCCATACAACTACTGGCCTGAGTACGTGTGAGGCCCCGGCAGCCACCGAACCTTAACCCCCCCTTCTGCGAACATCGAGCTACCAGCCGATGCGCAGAGGTTGCCGTGTCGAGTGTTGTCGTTTAAGGGAGACAATAGTTCCCTTCATGTCATGCAATGTCGCCTGGGTTTGGTAGCTAGCTACTGATCACCATGTGGCTTCTGCTATGGAACCGACTAGCGCTCTTCGACCACCCATCAATCACCCATTGATGGATCACGATACGCCGAATTTATCCTTTCCGTCAAAATACAAGCGCAGCATAAAAGCCAGGTTCTCAAATATCTGTCTTTTCGGAGTTTTTTGGTGTTGCTATTAGGAGCTTCTCTAATTGGGCTTGCTTTCGCGGCCATATACCCTTCGTTTCTTGTTAATTGTTCAGGGCGATCTTGAGCCTGTGGCACTTGATCTTGTCGTTTTCGGGTTGGGGTTTTGGAATGTGGAGTATTTCTCGTAGTAAGCTGTTCTTGCTAGTCAGTAGGGTAGGGACATGTAACGATGTGGCGTCATGGCCAGAAAAAAGAGACTAGAATGGGATGAATCTACAGAATTATCTTATACTTTCGTCGTATGTGCATCATACTTCTTCCTAGCTTTGTTGATTGGTATGATTTGTCGTGGTTGTTCTGCGTGACGCGAAGATATCACGGCACACCTCGTTCTTATACAGCCTGTTCGATATTGCTTAGCCTGTCTATAATCACCCACAACATTAGATGCACTGCTGCATAGTTTGAAACAAGGTAATGAGGAAATAGGCTTGCATCGCGATTATATACCGTTTTACTCAACTGCGTTGTGCCCGCAATTCTGCATCAGCACGTTTGACAAAGCAACGGAGTCAGATAGTTAAGATATTCCTCTTTAAAAGTGTACAAAATCCCTACTAAGCCGTGATAGCGATTACCGGGTATCTGCAGGAATACCGGAGTTGCCTTCAACTATTATGGCACCGGGCCTGCTTGTAATGTACCTATCTTAAAGGTAGTTTGTCACACCACCAAATACAGCCGGCGACGGGAAGTTTATGATAAGGTTGCATTAATGCATTATGCAAGTACTAGGTCAAGTCCGAGTTAACAATCTATATCGAACTTTTCAAAGACATTACATAAGTAGTAGTGAAGGATTATGCGGAAAACTTTACATGTTGGTATTGAATATGGTCTGCAACAGTTTTGTACGTAGCGACGTAGGTTTCAGTAGACTTGTTTCGATAAAACAGAATTTGGCTTCTGCTTGATACAATATCTGTACCGGTCTCCTCAAAGCGTTCGTATAGTCACGTTTCCCACGATAGAAAACCGAAGGAACAGCGAAACCTTGTTGCTCTCAATCCGAGTGCGAATCCGAGACTTTTGCGATGAGTGGAATGGGAGGTCCCGTTTCACGTCATGTCTTCTAGATAAGAAGGGCGATGGCGACGAAAGTGGTCATGAGGCACCGTGTTGGAGTCATGAGAACCGCAGCGCTAATGGAATGTCGTAGATATCGGCTATATAGCCATGCTCCCGGAGCCGCACACTGCTCTATCGCCCAACCAAGTGTATCTTAATAGCCGAAGGGTAAATATGCGATGCCCAAGTGTTGCCTGGCTTAATTGTGTCGTTTCTGGTGCAGTCTCTTCGGTTTCATCTCAACCATGGGTACGAGATCAAGTGCTCGGTGGCGAAGATACTGCTGCCATGGGAAGAGTTGAACGAGAGGTAAATAGAAGTTCGCAAAAGAACCAGTATGAACTGCCCAGGAGCCGGTTGAAGTCTCAAAGTAGACTTAGCCACAGTTGTGACGTCTTGACCACCCTGTTCGCGGTACGATCACCCGCTGGCTGCCGCGTGCCTCGTGACGAGCACCATACATCGCTTCTATTGCAGCGGGAGAGCTCGTTACTTTGCAAAGGTCCGAAAATGTGCCCATTCATAGGAAAACGATATGTCACTCCCACCAATCAGTCAATGATCATCGTCTCACATGCCTCGAGGTATCCTGGCGATGTGCTTACCCCCACGCTCACGAAACGGGTCCTCGTCGCTTTCACCGTGGAAGCATTGTTCCAGAATGAAATCCGCCAGTTCTCCGGGGTTGCATATCAAGGCACCCTTGTTGTCAAGCCCGATCTGACAAGCGCTTTTCCCGAGATTCATCCTGTACCTGGTTTACATGTGCCCGCAGGGATGGAGCTGGACAACCGTCTTAAGCGATGCATGCGTATAATTCGAGGAAAGCGGTGAGTGCCGTATTATAGCCCACCGTCCCGAATCTTTGGTAGTGGTGCGTTGAGATTATTGCGTTCCAAGCATTGTTACGACGCGTCTCACACCTATCGCAGACGAGGAGGTATCGTGTCTCTTGGGCAACGCATGTCGGCGAGGTACCAAGGCTCGGGGACACCGACGTGGAAGCTGATCTTATATACATACGTTTGCGGCAGGGACTGACGTGAGATGAAGAAAGTCGGGATGTGGTGGGAATCGGAGATCGGTAGGTGGGCGCCGAAAGGACACTAGTCCGGAAGTGGAATCGCCCGGACTCTATCAATCTAGTTGACGTTTTTCCAGAACCCAAACTTGCGAGAGCGGACCGATTCTCTGACACTCCTGCCACAGCCTTCCAACAGCAGGCGCTCTCGAGCGCGACTGTCACATTCAATGATCTGATGCATGCCGGGACACAACGGAACCCAAATACACTTTTGACCATTCAGACGAACCCGATCTTCACTATGACGTCCTGCAGAGTTATGAGGCTTCGCATCCTCGTAGCTGATCCTCCGCATGGGATAAGATGAATGCGAAAAAGCGGGGTCGCGGCAAAGGCCTGTACGCGTCCGCGCTTAGCAATATTCGCATACCGGGTACCATGTATACACTGAAGTCTTATGAACGGCTATCGCCAATCATCCATCTCCAGCCCAGGGTTTCATCATATCTTTTGTTCACAGAATTGGGGGAGCAGCGATGTTGAAGACGTTTGATAGCAGCGATATGAGCGAGGTGACTGGTAAATCTCATACAAGAGGTCCCGACAATCCGGCGCCACCAGCGAATCCATCGTCCGCGGTCCCACAAGCTACGGCACCACCCGAGCCCCCTCGCCGCCAACAGATGCGCAGCTGCGACGCATGCAAGCGCGGCAAACGAGCTTGCGATGCGGACAAACGCGTGGATTATGCGAACCAGACATGTTCGAACTGCCTTCGAAAGAACCAAGTCTGCACTTTCAACTGGCTGAAGACGGCGTCTGTGAATCATCCAGAGCGGGAGAGAAAGAGGAGGCGTTCAGAGGAGAAGAGCGATATCGATCAGCTCGAACATACAGCGAGTAGCTCTGTCAATTATCAGTATCCGATACCACCTGGATCTACTGCGAACGAAGCTCGGCACGAACTACAAGATCGATGGACACAGTGGTCATCATCTCAAGACGAAGACGAGACACGCGAAGACTACTTCAGCAACCCGCCGAGTGACGACGTGGATAATACAGCCGACGAATCGATACCCTTGGAGGATCTAGACTCAGCGCAGTCAGGGAGAAACGTCGAGCAAGGATTGCTTCAGTCGCGATACTCGCGGAGAAACTCGTTCGCGCTGCGTCCTCATCGTCGAAACCAGAGACACGATGCTTCATCGCCAATCGTGGACATACTACTGGGGGAGAGGTCTTCGCGGGGTTTCGTAACCAACGGTTTACTACGCATATATAACGACAGTATGGAGAACTCTCTCTCATGTTGGCTCACAGAGCACAACTGTCCGTATACGATGACGCGCTACAAGCCTTCTCTCCTCTCGGCGAGTAAGGCTACACGGGAGTGGAGTGGTACCTGGTCAAACAGAATGTACAACCGTGTACTTCAGCTTGACCGTGCCTACGCGTCCCTTCAAATACGAAAGCCAACGACTGAGGAAGAACGTACAATCTCCAAAGCACTCAACATGACCATCATGTCGTTTGCGTCACAATGGGCTCAGGCAGGCGAAAGAGGGGCAGGAGGTCGTGCGACTGACTCCCAGTTTACGGCGGACAGGTTCCCTCAGTCGAATGAGTTCGAACGGTCCATGCAAGAGACACTCTGGCATCAAACATCTCGGCTGCTTCAGCAGGCTGCTGATATTGGTTCTTTCCGTGTCATCTTTGCCTTGATCATCTTCTCGCTGACCCAACGGCCCTTAGACACCACTCAGCGGCATGCACGCACGGATCCAAAGCTGAGAACGCATTACGAACACTTCCAAGCCTTAGTACAGGACGACGACGCCCCCATCTTCTTAGAGATAGCTTTGCGACAGCTACTCGCCCAACGACGGAGACTGGAACGCGTGGAACAAGACCTGGGACGAGACCCTCTTCAGCAAGAAGACCGAGATACTTTCAATTTGTTATATTGGTTCGGCGTCATGTTTGATACCCTATCCGCAGCGATTTCCCAACGTCCAGTAGTGGTCGACGATGAAGACAGCGAATTACCCCCTCCAACCAACAGCGCGTACACCGAACCGTTCTCGTGGCCGAACCCACCTACTATGTACAATAACCAGTTTGGAATGCCAGGAAACGTTCCCACAATTCCCAACGACACGTCAGTACCTCAGGGCTCTGAAGGTAATGCGGTGTGGGGTGATCTTTTCACTCGCGATGGGACTTTGGAAGTAGATCCTGGAGCAGCACGGTGGCCATGTAGCTACAAGATCGCCGCCGCAACACTCAGCTCGGCTGCGCCGGTCAAGGTGCTCCTATACAGGCGTGTCGCACATCTCCAAGCGTTGGTATCGCGGAAGGCTCCGCCGGCTAGGATTGAGGTAAGTACATAGATACAGTCTCATCTTATTGCAATCGGCTGGCTGACTATCTCACTTGTAGTCAGGTATAAACGGCGCATTCCACGTCTACAACCACTGGCATCGCACGTACGCGCCCTTCTTCTCCGACTGCGTAAAGCACCACGCCACCCTCCCCACACGCGTACAATCCTGGTACACCCTCATAGCAGGCCACTGGCATCTGGCAACCTTTCTGCTTTCAGACTTGCTACTCACAATCGACAAGACAAAACTCTCTTCCCCGAACGAGCGCACCCTCCGTCAGTCATCAAACCTCGTGGATACGCTGCGCCGCCAGAATGCACTCGCAGTCGCCGACCTGAGTCTCGCTAGCATACACAGCGTAAAAGAGAAAGAAGGAACAGATGAGTTCCACTTCGCGCTCAGCCAAGCCGCGCTGTTGACAGAGCCGTGGACTGTGGCTTTCGTGCGCTCGTTATGCAGAGCAGGCTACGTCTTGGTGCAGGTCGTGGCGTCGGAAACCATCGAAGAGGAACGCGATCAGGCAATACGGAGATGTCGTGATTGCATCGAGGGTCTCTGGTATCTGGGTCGGAAATCAGACATGGCGTTTCTCGCTGCGCGCTATCTGTCGGATATGCTGGATGAGGCGATACGCGATACGAGTGCACGGTCGATGGCGGAGGAGATGGGCAGTGACAGTGCGACAGTGTCGTCGCAGTTTGGTACGAATTCGAGTCCTGGGACGGATGGGGGTGTGCCTGTGTATCAGCAGCCGTTTGATTCGATTGGAGCTTTTCCGTCGTGGTCGAATGCGGATTTGATGGGGAGTTGTCAGCCGGGTACTAAGATCGACGAGGGCGATGTGTTGAATATGGAGACTCCTTTGAATGTTGATAGCGCGTTGCTTTGGGACTTTAGTCTGCAGGGGTAACAACATAGTCCAACCAAGCTGAGAAGCAAGAACTGCCCGACGAGCCTAGAGGTGCTCGTGAGATCCATCGGTAACTATCTTCTTCCAGTTCGTTCACGACGAGCAAGACAAACAACGTAACAACGAAGCTCGGCCATGTATATTTGTGCTCCTTAGACGCTCGACAGAGCATCGTAAAATCTACCTACCACGAATCCCACCATGCAACAATCTCTTGGCGTTCCCGATCCCTTCGAGCGCGTTCGCCTTGTCAAGAACATACAGTCTATGTGGAATGTCGCAAACCCTACAGACATCATCCCGGAGGGGATGCAATACCCTGGGCACATCATCGCCTGGCCTCTACCCATCCTCCGAGCCATAAGCTATCTAGCCAGTGGTATGCCGGGCGATGGGGGACGGCATCGATTCGTGGAACTCCTTAACCTCGGCCACATGACGAGGATGTTCAACGAGTCGACTGCCAACGAACCGCAGCTACAATCATCCGATCTGGAGTTTGTCCGGGACAGCGTTGGATTGCCACCGGCGGCTATGCCATTAGAGGAGGAAGCCGCCCCAGCCCAGAATGATGTTGCAACCCCCCAACCACGTCCACAACGAATATTTCCAGAAGATGAAGATGACCCGGAGACCTTGATGAAGAAGCAGGAACTGTGGATCAAGTACTACTGGAACGCCACTGATATTAAAGCCCTTGTTCCCCCAAACATTCGGCAGCTAGACAAATTTGGAAAGCCGACCAATCGGGCGCTGCACAGCTGCAGCGACCAAAGGAATCTGACGAAGTTACTTTATAAGCTAGCTCGCATCACAAAAGGTCGAAAGGATGCAGCATGGGCGCAGATAGAAGAGGCGTGGAAGGCAAGACCAGCAGGCCGTGGAGGAGGCAAAGCATTTGCAGAATCAGACGTCAAAGCCGCTCTTGATCACTTCCGTGACCTACGTGAAGAAGAAGAAGACGAAGACTCTGTTACCAACAGTCGAAAGCAATTACATATTGCACCTTCAAACCCCGACGGGACTACCGGCGAGGAGGGTCAGAATGGCGCGACGAAGGCCCAGCGGGGAAGTCAGCATCTCGATGGAAGGCAACGGAAGAGACGACGACGCGAAGCTCCAGCCACCGAACCCAACACCCAAGACAGTGCCAATAACCAAACGCTACCGGCTGACGTGGATGTCGCAGAGTCAGGGCTCTCGATGGCTCGCAGCCGGCGCTCATCAGTCATGGCAAGACGTGGCAACGACCGCGCGAGTAGCATAGCGACCCATGACGATACGGTTGACGAGGCTGCCTCGAGTGTACAAGAAGCGCGTGGAGCAGCGACCTTGCCGCTAAAGAGGAAGAGACGGCATTCACTATGAGGCAGATGTCGATGAGGAAGGTGGCAAGACAGACGATGACGAAAAAAATGAGCGTGCGGAACAGGAGCACGATGAGCTGGAGCCAGAGGAGGCGCAAGAAACACCAGAAAATCGGGCCGTGTCGTTCGAGACGGAGGACGCACCACAAAATGGGGAAGTTGAGGATCGGGTAAGAGGTTGAAGCAATGTAGATAAGACATAGTGCAGATTAGACCTCAGGCTAGTACATGACATGACTGGTAGTGCCCGCAACTGTCACGTGTAATTGTAACATTCCGAGTTGTGTATTGCTGCGCCTCAGTGGCGCGTGGGGCTTGACCGATCTTGACATGCACCAATAGACGTGTGGCACACTGCAGATCCAATGTCGCACACCAGTAAAAGTACGAACATGACTAAATCGAAGCCTCTATGAGCTGTTTTCTCGAACGACGCGCAAGTTTGGGGATTGGAAGCGAGTTACCCCGCATTGTTCGCTGTTTCGCTCTTACCACCACATAAGAAGAAAAGACTAGGTAGACAGGTCTGCAGACTACATTAGGACAAAAACTTGCAAAGTAGGTAACCTAAAATTAACGTAGGCTCTAGGCTGTTTAGTGTTTTCCTAGGTTAGCGTGTTACTAAAAGCCCAATCGCCCCAGCTTCAGAATGACGAGCGAGAATCCCGCCCCAAACACGCATGCACCAACTCAGGTAGGCAATTTTGGAACTCAGAGAAGAGGGCGAGACTGATGCTATCCTGCAACTCGGCAGCATGCACCTTCAGAAGTGGATAGTACCCCCAAAGATACTCTTATCACGATCGGAGATGTCAAATACGATGTCGACCTCTCGCAGATACCTTATCTGTCGTCCTTTGCCGATTTCCAAGCCAAAGCCCAGCCGGACGTCACCGATTTGGTCCACGGCCCAATACCTCTCTTCGACGTAGCTTTGAAGGGAATCCAATCGGGTTATCGTCAATGCTTCAGGAATCTTCCCCCCGAACTCCAACAGTACCACGTTCTATGCGAAACATACGAGTTTCTCGGCATTGATGTCCTCGACAAACGACGCATCGACCAGATCTTCAGCGATCTGAGGCTCTGCAGGATAGATTGGGACCCAGAGAATGAAGATACCAAGGGTGTTAAGTCGAAAGCACGCGACGCCGCTTTCAGGTTGCTGTATCTCATCCTGCTGGGCGAATTTGAGGATGATAAAATGAATGGCGACAAGGCGTACAACGCAGTGTTGTTCGTGTTATCCCATCCCGCGACGTTCAAGTCAAGAACAAGAACCGTAGTTCGGGCGGCGTATGAGGAACGTTTTGTTGTCTCGCGGAAGCAGATAAAGAGACTAGATCAATGGCTGAAGGGAGATGCTGCAGATGATAGCGAAGAAGTCACCACTACAGAGGAGGAATCGCCCGAGGATTATTATGTATCGGATGAGTACTATGAATCGGACTGGTCGTAGGGATTGCGGAAGTTTGTGCGGTTACTTAGGGAATCATGATTTCATTGTCAAAGCCCCGGCGATCACGTTTCTTGATCAAGAGAGATGTGATACGTAACCACGGATGCTTGCTGTCTCCACGGGTAATCACAGTCTTTTGCATTATCCCGCGTGACAGTAGCAAATAAAATACTGCCATCTTACCCATCTATATCAGTAGTAGGAATGCTCTCCTGTCAGTCTCAAAATCCTCATTTCACTGTCGATAATACCATGTATCTACCAAAAGAGCATCACGACCGTGACGAGCGACTGGATCTCGCGACGAAGATTACATCTCAGTGGGAAACCACTACCAAGAGCACTGCGTGTATTCCACTATCTATGCGCTACCTCAAAGACCTTCAGTGGTGGCCTATTGAGATCTTGCGGGCCTTGGGTAACCTCGCCGACGAAATGCCCGGTATCGACGACTGGAACAATGTCTACGATCTACTGGTAGAGGGCAAAATGAAGAGGATGAAGGACAGTTCGAACACCTCGTCAGCAGAGATACACCTGAGCGACATAGAATTCGTTCGAGAGCGCGTTCGGGCGGGAGAAGGGAAGGGAAAGCAGAATATGATTGACACAACTATGGATGATGACGGTATGTTCATATCTCATACATCATTTGAAGTCGCAAAAGAGCTAACTTGCGCAGAAGCAGATTCCACCCGACACACATTTGATGATGACGAGGTAGTCCATCCGGCTGATGATACAGACGACGTCGATACCGCTATCGAGCCGGGCGTGACTTCTGGAGCAACTCTTCTCCTAAACGCAACCAATGCCCTTCCACCAGCTATACTCCCCTCCGAAGATTGTTATTTCGGTCCTCATCCATCAAGCTGCTCGCACGAGTAACAAGATATCTAAGAATCGCCTTAATTGAAGCGTAGCAAGGAGGCTACATACTAGTAAGAAGTTAGCAAAATATCTTAAGAGCTATCCGTGGCGGCTACTTTACCCTACCCCAAGGCCCTTCCAAGCCATCAAAGTATGATTCTAACCCTTCACTTTCGTTACAGCTTTTGACCCCACAACCCCAAACCGGCATTCCGTTTCCCCAACGCCAGATCTCGCACAGTATCTGCACCCAGAGCCATCACCGGGATCACCACTGCAACGGATCTTCCTCTCACGGCAACGGGTGCACGTTATCTTGGCCTGACGACTCCTCACAGCCAGCCTTTGCTCCTCGCTCAGTGGTCCAGGTCTCCGCTTGGGTGCTTGTTCACCGCTTGATTTATTGTCCAGCTCGTGAGGTTCCTGACGCTCGACTTCAGATTGTTCCTCGTTGGCGATCAATTCGGGTTGTTTGTTGGACTGGGTCGATGTGTCGGGCTCGTTGTCAGGGGAGGGTTGAGATAGTTGACGGTCCGCAGTGACGGCTTCCTCTTGAACTCGCATGGCTACTTCAGTTTGTGGTATTCTCTAGGGTGCCGATGTGGAATTATTGAAGTGCTCTGTCCAACTCAGTGCGCTGATCTGGCGGCTTACAAAGACAACGAAGGCGTGGCCGACAGTGCGAACGATGGAGCAGAAGAGAAGATTGGTACAGTCTGGTCATATCTTGGGTCAGCCGAGCTTTTGAGTGGAGTTTGTTGTGTGACAGCCATGTGCGTATCAGCTACTACGTCTGTCGTGAAACATTGGCTCGACTGATGTGGGGAATCTATGACAAGTTACGGCGTGTGATACATTAAATGAGGTATGTGCATCCAATTCGATGTAGACCAATATTCTCGCGCGTCTCTTGGACAAAATGAAGATCATGTTGTACGAGATATTCGATACGTTCTAGCAGAGAACGTTCAGCCCATAGCCTTGAATACTGTCAAAGCATGCTACAGCGGAGCTATGGAACCTTAATACTTTCGATCTCTACCATGCGAGAGTAGGAAATACCACTGCAGCTGCGTAATGTCTTGCTAACACACACAAAGGTGGCCAGTCGGATCTGATTAATTAGGTTTCTAGTGCTGAAGCTATACAACGTTTGGTTTATCAGCATGCCGGAGGGCTAATACGCCTCACATCAGAAAGAAGAATAGCGGCAGAAGTTTGAACATTGAGCTGGGCCTCTCGCATCATACATTGTTCTATAAAACAACATGTTTCTTTAGACTTCTATGTTCCAAGTCGAATCCGGAATCGCGCTGAGGTTCAATGGTAACGAACGCCTTCTTAGTAAGCCTCTATTATCTGTCCTTTTGCTTGTGAAGGTCAATTGATATCTAGCACATACCTCCATGAGTTGCTCCTTCGCTTTCATGGATTGTAAGATCGACTCGATGAAATCATAACGCTCGGATAAGTCGCTACAACCCTGAATTCCGTTAAAAAAGGGCAGCTAGATCACTTGATGGCTAATACACACCGATAATAGATTATTGAGCTGCCCAATGAAGAGCTGAAGAAACTTCATTTCTTTGTATGCCTCTCGGATGCAGAACATGTCAACCCACATGTAGCATTGCTCCATGAGAATCACGAGAGGGAAATCCCGATCTCCATAAGCCTCCGGAGGTAAGTAGGTCCATTTTAGCCAGTACACTTCCCTGACAACCCTCTGCCAGTGTTCATGATAATGTGGTTTAGGTGTCCCTTTGATCGTTTGTCCTCGGGTAAAGGATATCGAAACCTCAATCGATCTGTAGAGCGTATGAAGACGCAACGCTTTCTCTCCGTCTGGGCATACAGCACTTTTGCCATGGTCCAGCAGGTAGTCTTTGGCGGATTGGTGGACAAAGAGGACTTCGTCATTCTGCTCTGAGAGAAATGACCCACATTCTCGAACGATGTCTCGCATCGTTTCTACTTTATCTCCAACATCGTCTAGCTCCTTCACCAGATAGGCCAATTCGTACGTCTCAAGAGGTCTTGGTGATGTCAGCACGACCCCGAGCACGAATTTGTAAAGCTTCGATTCCGGCTCATCTAAGCTCTGAAGTTGCTGGAGCATTCTTCCATACAGTTGCTCGAGCCCGGGAGGGAAGGCTTGCATGTCCTTTTCGTAGAACACGCGTTTCGAGAACCCCAACCTCTTGCAGACTAACGCTACCCACAAGAAGGTCCCTCCTGCATTCTTCTTCAGGTAGTCACGGATCGCTTCGGCATCCGATGGACCCAATCTCTTCTTATCAGTCAACGCTTTGACTTTGTGTTCGATGTAGGTATCGACCGCATCAAGTATAGCTTCGGATTTGGGGTCGAGTTGAAGATGGAGCATTTGAGGATGCTCAGTAAGTACATCGCGAATATCGTTCCAGCCGCGTGAGGAGATTATGCACTTGGTGTGTGGTAGCTTCCTTGAAATCTGTACAATCAGTTCCAAGAGTCTTCTACGATCGTCCGAGTCGATGCATTCGTCCAAAGCGTCTATGATGAGGTAGATGTTCGCTTGCCGTATATATGAGTCACCCAGCATACTGATAATGATCTTGGATAAAGCCGTCCATGTGTTTGCGTCGTTAAATAACTTGTCGCCCACGCGATCATACTCAAGTCGTACATAGCGTACAAGTGAGGGCTGTTGACCAATCAGATGATGGATGAGACCCCGTAAGACTGCCGTTGCGTTGTTGTTGCGCGGTTCGGATGTCTGGCAGAAGAAGTAAGATATGAGATCACCCGCCGCCAGGGTTTGTTCGAGTGCGTCAATGATGCCGCACATGAGCATGGTTTTGCCTTGACCGGGTGAACTAGAAGTTATTAGTACGATTCCTCATCAAACCATGTCAACCTAGGGAAAACCTGAACAGGTCTGCAGCCTCCATCAACATAGAAGCATACAAGATAGGTGGCCTGGCGTCGATGTAGGCTCCAGACCTGTTCAGGTTTTCCCTTCTATGAGGTGAAACCACGACATCGAATGCTGCTAACTCACCCTTCGACCCAGAGTAACCGCCCTTCACGGTCATTGCGCCAACGCCGATAATCCGCGTTGTTAAGTATCCACCGAAAAGAACCATCCAATAATCCCCCTTTTGCATTTTCGAGCCGTTCTTTATCGTGGCTGGGGTTCGTCTGGAACAGGTCTTGAAGACACTTGTTGTCCGCGACACTCTTCGTATACGCCAGAGAGTGCGCCGTTTGTTCCTGGAGACTCACCACAATGTTGTGCAGGCTGATGTCCTGTGACTCGGCTTTCTCCGCAATAGTTTGGAGTTGGTTACGGATTTCATGCGTGCTGAATTGAGCTGCATCTTGGCGTATCGATTCTTCCATCTCCTTTATTGCAGCCAGCTCACCTTCCCAATCATCCCACTTGACAAGGTCTCTTGCAAAAACAGTGCCACGTTTGCGATGGTATGTAATGATACTTTTGATCTGGTATGCCAGAAGACGAGTGTAAAGGTCGACGAGATTCTTCTCGAGTTGATCTTGCAGCGGCTGCGATCGTCGGGCTTCTTGGTTTCTCTCTAGGAGAAGATCAGCTAGATGCCAGTACCAATCCATCCTCGATACGACGTAAGCGATTCCATCTCTATTAGAAGACTGTTGGGTGAGTGGATTCATAAGTATCTGACATGCATCAGCCATGTGCTTGCATCATCAAAGTTCGCCAGCCATACATCAAGAGCAAGGCAGATCGGTACCCAAGCTATAGAAGCTTCTGGAGAAGCTCTGGTAGCTGTTGCGACGCTATCCTTGACGACATTGAACACCTGCAGGCCTTGCGCGAGTGCTTCGTTAGTCGCAGCTGCCTTCTCCGTCCTGAGCAATCCAGAGTCAACGAGCTGTCGCATCTGCAGTGATCTTGGCTGCCCTGAGCTGATGTTGTTGATCTGTGTATCGAGGTCCACGGCCTTAAGCTCTTGTCCACCGATTTGGCTTGAAAGGATGCCCTCATAGTGTTCGATCAATTTCGGATCCTTTGATTTGAGCTGGTCGTATGCCAGGTTCCATAGACGTCCGGGTAAGCTTTCCGCTACCAGTTCTGGGGTGCTGGTGCTCGTTGACTGTACATCCGTCGTGGAGGAGGTTTTCGGCCCCTCCTCGCTCCGCTTCTCCTGCAAGTCGTCACTGGTGGCCACAGCGACTTGTAGTGCCGGTGTCCCAGGCTTCTCTCGATCCTTTCGACGGGAAAACCTGAACAAGTTGCAACATCCCATTATTGCGGAAGGAATGAAAGATGGGTAGGAAGTAAGGAGACCCGGGAGGGAGAAACAAGATGCAATACAGCCTTGCAGCGACTGTGCCGCATGAAGCATGTATGCGGGGGCCTACCTCGACATCATTGGCCGTCCACCCACCATCCGATAGCATGCATAGAGAAAGTATGTCGTCGCAAATTAACCAAGGCTGTACTCATCCGATGTAGCATTCGATGATTGGATTGGAAGGGCCTGTACGCCGAAGCGTGCATACATGCCGTTGGCTTCGGGTGCAGTGAACGCCACCGTCGAAGAGTGCGCCATTTCATTGGTGTCAGATCTTACGCTGAAGCCGGACGCCGTCGCGCAGTGTTGGAGTGTTGGAGTGTTGGAAGTGAACGACGTGGACGCGTCGATGCTGTCTGAGGTTTGTAGCGCGACTTCCTGCCCATCTTATCAGCGACTAGCGGCGATAACGTCATCGATCACCAACACCGACAGCCTCACGCATCCCATCCCATCCACATCGAGTCAGCTAATCATCCCACATCCAAGATGTCGCGCAATTCCTCCACCGCAGCCAAGATAACCCAAATCTACACCCCCAACCCCTCCGGCACCGAACCCGCCAACACCCAAGCCGTCATCTCAGCACTCAACCTCCAGGTACACGTCGAAGGCGGCTACTATGCGGAAATCGATCGTAACCCGCTTACCATTCCCAACCCTTTCTTAGTGAAGAACGGTGGGGATGAGGAACAGGATGTGAAGAATACGGCGGAGAAACCCATGTCAGGTGACAACGCAATCAGGAACGCGAGCACGAGCATATACTATATGTTGAGTGCAGTGAACCCCCAGGGACACTTTCATCGGAATAAGGGGAGGACGGTATGTATGATAGTGAAAGTGAAGTACTGATGCTAATCGGTACACGAAGGTACACACTCTCATCTCAGGCCGAGGTCGTTACGTCCTGATCCACGCCGACGAGCCTGGCACTAAGAAACGCATTGAAACGTTCGTTGTTGGGACCGACGTCACGAGGGGAGAAAAGAGTGTGTGGATCGTCGAGGGCGGGAAATACAAGGCAAGTTTCTTGCTCGACGGAGCGGAGGGGGAGAGATTATTGATCAGCGAGGTACGTGCTTTCACCTATGATCGCTGACCACATAATATCTGACTAACGCGACTTTTCAGACTGTAATACCCGGCTTTGAGTTCTCAGATCATGATTTCTTGACGGTAGACAAGTTCAAGCAGATTGTTGAGGATGAACAGGCGAAGGAATTGGAGTGGTTGGTGAGGAAATCGTGAGACCACACCCATTATCAGACGCATCACGTCGGAGATGCAGATTCACCTGCAAAAAGCAAATGCGACGCTGATAACCTGCATTGACTGCCCAGGTGTGGCGAAACGCGATGTCGCGTCTTCACGTGTGCGTGATGAAATAATGGCGGGGCGCTATCGATAACGGGCAAAATTGTCGATATTCCGTCACGCAAGCCCACGCTCAGCGATTCTCTCAGCAACACAACCCAAAATGACTTCAGCATTCGGCCCAATCGCCGGTAAGTAGTCGCGCCAATATACACATCTTGTTTCTAACATTCCCCGCAGAGCAACACCAGGACAAGTTTGACCTCGGAATCTGGCACGCGCTCTTTAACTGGAACAACCTCACCGTCGCCGTCCAAAACCAATGGGGCGGCCCCGACTCCTCGGATAAGCGCGACTGGCTCGCAGGCCAAATTTCCGAACTCTTCGCCGCAGAACCCCTCACAGACCAAGAAGATGTGGAAGTCGTCCTACTACAAGTCCTCGAGGACGAGTTCGGCGTGCGCGTAGAAGACGAGACCGAAGTCGCTGTTGCGCGCGAGATCATGGCGATACGGAAGGAGATTGGCGAGGGCAACACAGCAATGGTGGATGCGCTGCAGAAGAAGTGGGAAGATAGGAAGGGCAAGGAGGTTGCGACTGGGAGTGTTAATGTCAAGGAGACGAATCAGGACTTTGAGGGGGATAGTGTGGATGAGGAGACGGATGAGGATGAGGATGTCGATATGGATGATGCGCCTGCGCTTGTGCCTGCGAAACCGAAGGCGGCTAAGCCTGAGCCCGAGATTGATGAGGAGGGCTTTACGACGGTGGTTGGCAAGAAGAAGAGGTGAAATGGAGAGGGGAGGAAAGAGGAGCAGCGATACCAAGCCAGCTGAGGCAGTCGAAGTGTTACGGATGATGTGGGTGACCACTGCATAGATGGGGATCTATGGATGCACACAACAGACACCGAGCAGCGAGCGCGCACATCAGCAGCGAGTGGCGACGCCATTAGGCCGGTGTGACGGCCATCCATGAGCATATCGGAGGAGAAATTTCAGACCCAAAATGAATACATTGTCGTCGCGTCAACAGCCCCGACCATTGCTTGTGTAACGCGAGCGTGCCTGAGCTGATGATGCACGCCGCCCAACTACTAGCGGCAATTGCGGAGCTCATGCATGGCCCCGCCCGCATTTGACCTGCACCCTTGATTGACCCAACCAGCCTGTGTCTCACGACCACAACAACATCCTTAGCCCCCACCCTATACACAACCTCCCTTCTGGACAGTCGTAGCTATGGATTCCGCCTACGATCACATCCAGGAGGAGAGCTACCCGCAGGACCCCACCAAGCAGTCCGCCAGCGGAGATAACACCCACCAGGAGACGACCAACAACTTCAACGCCGAGTTCCAGGATGCTTACAAAGCTATATCCAGCAGCCCGTGGGCGGCGCGTCTAGGAGGATTTCTGGGAAATGTGAGGAAGCAGGTAAGACAGGCGTATGGGGTTCAAGCTACCCTTTCTGACCATGTGCGGTGTAGGGCGAGCAATACTACGACAACGCAAGCAAGCAATATGCGCCACAGGTCAAGAACGCCTCCGCCAGCGTCTCCAACATCATCAGCCACGCGCGCAAGATCTCCCTCCAACCCGGCGACGCCTCGAGCTCCAGATCCGCGTCCACCCCCCAAGACGCTTCCACCGAGAAAGCGACCGAAGACACAGAAGCCCATCCCGACCGACCCGAATCCCTCACCGCAGACATTGTAAAGGAGGCAGAAGGCATACTATCGCGCTTCCGCTCCGAAGCCGCAAAGCGCCTCAAAGACGTAGAAAAAGCCGAAGACGCCGCCGACGAAGCGCTCCTCAAATTCGGCAGCAACATCCGCAACTTCCTCCGCGACGCCGTAACCATCGCGCCTCCCGAAGCCGGTTCGCAAGCCGCCAAAGACGGGGACGTGCTCTTCGAATCCAAAGACAGCAGCGGCAAGAAGGTTGTGCACGCCACGCGCTTCGACGCCCAACTCCACGTTATCCACTCGACGCTCGATTCCTTCCTCAAAGACCCCGCGAGTCCGGAGTGGGAGAACTGGAAGGCGGGCTTTGATGTGGAGAAGAAGACGGAGGCTATTGCCAAGGATCTGGAGAAGCATGAGGAGCTGAGGAGTGCGATGGAGAAGTGTGTGCCGGAGAAGGTGGAGTATAAGGTGTTTTGGTGCAGATATTATTTCTTGCGCCATGTTATTGAGAGTGAGGAGCAGAGGAGGAGGGAGATGCTCAAGGGTGAGTTGAATTTATGACTTGTAGAAAGGAACGTAAAGCTAACATGTAAACAGCATCCACACCCGCCGCCGACGAAGAAGTAGCCTGGGACGAAGACTCGGAAGAAGAAGACGACGATGACGACGACGAAGAAGAAGATGACGACGAAGACGATTCCTCCGAAGAAGACGACTCAGACGACGACTCAGACGACAACGCTACCGTTACTAAACCTACGACTAAATCCACCACCACCGCCACCGCCCCATCTACCTCTACCACAACCACAAAGCCCCTCCCCGCAACCAGCACAACCAGCACCCCCAAACCCCCTACCGACCTCGCCGCCTCCGTCAAAACCCTCAAACCCAACGACGACGCTAAACCAACACCCGCGCAACCCCGCCGATCAAACGATGAAAAGAGTGTCGCGGATAGCGACGCGAGTTATGATCTTGTTTCTGGGACTACGACGAGGGCGCCGGGGAGTCCGCAAGACGGCAAGGATGGGAAGGAGGGGAAGAAGAAGGTTGTGACTGAGGAGAGCGATGAGGAGGAGGATTGGGAGTAGGGGGTTTGGTGGGATGGGATGGGATTGGATGGGTGGAGGGGTAGGGGCATGGATATGTGAATATGAATATGAATGATGTGTGGTGTTTTCGGCGCGATGGGATTTTATGTTTTGGTTATTTGTTGTGTGTTGTTTGAGAGGAAGGTTATCTTGATAGGATAGTGACTCATGTGAGAATATCCTACTTTTTGGTATTCTATGGAAGATCAGTGGGGAGTGCTCGCTCGCTACGCTACGCTAATACATGATATTCGAAGGTGCATTCTATAAACAAAAGACAGGTGGTATCTAGAACGCCATTCTGATGCTGCACATCGCTCGCTTTACTGGACTTGAACATGAAATAAAGAACCAAATCTTCAAACCCCGCACATGCTCGCTCGTCGAACTCCGCCGTCGTAAAGATCGTTTTCTCGTTAGCCCGGTTCGAGTTACAAAGCTGTTAATTCGGTCTCGCCACGCTACTAGGCGGCGTATCAGGCGGCGCACTCCCCGTCCGTGGTAACGCTGTGTTATTGCTTGACCTCCGCGAGAAGTTGGGCTGCTTCATCCGGTTGAGATGTTGACCCGGTTGTGTGGTTGCTCGTCTGAGGAGAGGACTTGGCGAGGAGACGTTACCCAGACTATGCCTTGCCGTGTGTGAGAACTCGGCGGAGGAATTCGAACGATGGCCAGAAGAAGGCATAGGCGTAGAATTGGACACGGTTGGTGTACTACCCCGCGCGCGCGAGTATGGTGAGGAACCGCGCTGACCGATGGGATAGCTATCGTAATCGTAACCCCTACCGTCGTTCGCAGTAGGCGTATCTGTCCACCCGTCGCGATCGTGGTCGTGTACCTGGTCATGCCCGTGTTCGTGTAATTCATGCTCTAGGTATTCTTCTCCTCTCCTCTTGATCGGACTCTCGTCGTAGGGATCGAAGCCTACTCTCATCCTCGCTTCTCTCCTCACCCGTCGCCGCATTTCCGAATCGCCACCGGCACCTACTGTACTGCTATCCGAGAGGAAGAAGTTGAGGAACTCATCTGGAATGGCGAGGTGGGAAGATTGCTGGAATTGCTGGAGAGCAGTCAAGCGAATCAACATTTCCAGAAGTGAAAGCGACGTCTTGATAGCAGGGAGAGATGTAGGGGCTTGTTGCTGGTATTGTGGTGTGGGCGCAGAAGCCTTCTGCGGCGAGGGAATCATCTGGTTGCTGGAATTCGGTTGTGGAGAGGTGGGTGTGCTAGGCCGGAGATTGAGGTTGGAGAAGCGGCCGAGGAAGTCGGGTGGTGTGGGTGTGGCTGCTGGGGATGGGGGAGAAACGTCTTCAGTGAGGTCCTCTGTTTCGTCGATCTCGGAGTCGGTGGTGGGGTCTTCGGTGTATACTTCGAAGGCCATCCACTCCAGGTCCAGCGTGGGAGGTAATCGCCAGGGGTATGAAGGCTGTTCGGGCTCTTGCGGACCGGTGTTCTGCGGAGGGGGCTCTTCAAGGTGCGGTGTCGACTCGCGTCGCAGTTGCTCTTCCAACTCTGTTTGCTCTGGGTCTTCCTCATCTTCAGCAACGGTATGTGAGTCGTCCGACTCATAGCCGGGTTCCTCGGCATCGCGCTCCATCATGCGGCGTGGCGGTGCTGCATTGACGTCTCGCTTCAGTAACAAGATAGGGTTGTTGCTTTCATTGTCGGAACCGATGTTCAGTATCTTGCCCGTGTCGGCGTAGAAGATCTTTGACACTTCATGTATGGGTATGATCTCACGAACGCCCGCTTGCTCGACACCATCATATGGTCCTGGCTGGGGTTCGTCATCTTCAAACTCATGCATACGGCCGTCGTCCAAGTCTTCAACGATGAGCAGCTGGTAAGCGAACTCTTGCAGTACGCTGTCGGATGGGATGTGAGGGTGTTTAGCCTCGTCGGCGCGTCGACTGTCCTGCCCAAAAGGCGTCGGATAGTCATAGACATTGTCCAGTGGAACTCGCATCAGTGTAACACGCGCCTTATGCATGACCTCCTTCCATGTTGTCTCTCGCACGTCTTCTTCATGAGCTCGATGCGCGTATCCAGCGAACAACATGTACATAGAGAGTGTGAAGGTGGGACCAATTTGCTGAGCTCTAGGCTTCGATGCGCAATATTGCATGTCGCCAGAAGTGAGAAAGGTGCTAGCTTGTAAAAGTCGTGATGGAGATACAGTAGCCGGGAGCGTAGTTGAGAGACTGGTACCAGATGTGGTGATTGCCAAATTTATCAGCGGCACCGCGTCTTCAATCCGCTCCAGCAGCCTCTTCATCTCTTCGATGATGATCTTGAGCTCGGTATCGTTTTGATCTCGTGATTTTGCTTTAGAGCTGCCTCTTCTCGCAAGTTGCTCTTCAGCGACAGCCTTCTCGACACGACTCCCTAAGGTCTGGATGTCCCACCGAAGAGATTTGGTAAGACCCACTGCGGACTCAAGCGAGGTGTTTCCGCGTGCCGCAATCAGTTCGATCATGTCGATTGCTGGTGAGATAATCTTGATCTTGGAGTCGAGTCTCAACTGCAGAGTAGCGAGTTCCTGCTTTTCTCGACCATCGACCGTCTTCATCAGTCGGCCGCATTGCTTGAGTGCATAGTGACTGGTGATTGCTATGCCGCTTCGGATAGCATAGCTCATAGCCTGCTGGGTGACCTATCACGTGTCAGCATAATTCAAGAATACGAGAAGATGACTCCCTGTCAGTTATGACGTGTTGGGAGTCAAAGCATAGTCATACCTTTGCTAAGATTGCCTCCATCTTGCCCTGTGGTTGGGCTTCACCCTTCTATATGTGGAAGGGGCGGTTGATGCAGTGGTTGGGAGAGAGGAACCATGAGGTCAGATATCAGGTTGCCGGGAACGCAACCGGGATTAAGTGCGGCAAGTGACGACAAAGTGAATGTTTGAGGTTGGTGAGTGCCTTTGTTGCTGGGCGCCCTGGCCAATGTTAGGCAGCGAGGCGTTGAGTCAGCCCCACACAGCCACCCAAAGCAACCCCGCCAAATCCTGCGTGGGCAGCAGCGACCCGGCACATTTTCACTTTTCGCCGACGACACTCGACGCCCGTCCGCTTATATACCTGACAGTCGCTCCCTGGCCGCGGGTCGACTTCACGCATTCTCCAATTTACGAGCGACTCGACCGCACAAAATTCGCACGCCGTCGCACTACACCACCCCGACGACACGACCCATCCCCGCGAGACCGACGTCACCATGGCCGACAGCTGGGAGCAAGAGGAGGAGCGCCTCGCGCAGCAGGCGCAGGGCATGAACCTCAACAACACGCCCACGTTCACACCAGGTGCCCAGACATTCACGCCCGGCGCCAGCACATTCGTCCCCGGCCAAGCCTACGGAGGCTACCAGGGCTACAACCAGTACGGCCAGCAGCAATATGGCGGGTACAACCAATACGGTGGCCAGCAATACGGTGGCTACCAACAGCAGCAAGGCTACCCGCAATACGGGCAGCAATACGGCGGCCAGCAAGGAGGATACCCCAACTACGGACAGCAATACCCCCAGCAACAAAACTTCCAGCCCCAGCAGGCGCAGCAAGGCCAGGCGCCCGTACGGATAGCGAAGCGAGGCGACACCGATATGGCTGGCTCAGAGGGTGCCGCACCCGCCGAGGCTAAGAAGGAGGCGCCCAAGGCAAAGGTTCTCTCGATTGGTGGCGACAGCGCGCCCAAGGCAAAGGTCCTCTCCATCGGAGGCGACACCACAACACCAAAGGTCGAGAAGGCAGGCGGCACCAAGGTCCTGAGCCTGGGCACCCCCGCCGCTCCATCGGCAGCGAAGGAGAAGGCAGACAAGGAGAAGGGCACCGCTGAGGCCGGCACCAAGGTCACCGCTGCAAAGGCCATTGAGAAGACTGCAGAGCCCACCCCGGCGTCTGGAGGCTCTGGCCGAACCTCGCCAACACCTTCCTCTGGCCGCAACAGCCCGACACCGAAGGAGAAGGCTGCCGAGAAGGCCAAGGCACAGGATGTCGAGAAGGAAATGGACGAAGTCGTTGACGAGGCCACCCTTGCCGAGATTTACGGAAAAGAGCACGTCAACATCATCTTCTTGGGTCACGTTGACGCTGGAAAGTCCACCCTCGGCGGAAGTATTCTCATTTCCACCGGCATGGTCGACGAGCGTACACTCGACAAGTACAAGAAGGAAGCCAAGGACGCTGGTCGTGAAACATGGTACATCTCGTGGGCGCTTGACTTGAACAAAGAAGAGCGACAGCAGGGTAAAACTATCGAAGTCGGCCGAGGTTTCTTCGAGACAGAGAAGCGACGATACTCCATCCTGGACGCGCCAGGCCACAAGACATACGTACCGAACATGATCAGTGGTGCCTCGCAAGCCGATGTTGGTATTCTCGTCATCTCTGGACGCAAGGGAGAATACGAGACAGGTTTCGAGAAGGGTGGACAAACCCGAGAGCACGCCATGTTGGCCAAGACACAGGGTGTCAACAAGATCCTCATCGTCGTCAACAAGATGGACGACCCTACTGTTGAGTGGTCAGAGGACCGTTTCAAGGAGTGCACCAGCAAGGTGGTCATGTTCTTGAAGGGTCTCGGGTACAACCCCAAAACAGACATCAGCATGATGCCAGTCAGCGCGCAAACATTCACAGGTATCAAGACCCGTGTACCCAAGGACCTCGCTCCCTGGTACGATGGCCCATCTCTGCTCGAATACCTAGACAACATGCAAGCGCTCGAGCGTAAGCTCAATGCGCCTTTCATGATGCCCATCGCCGCCAAGTACAAGGACATGGGTACTATGATTGAGGGCAAGATCGAGTCTGGTATCATCAAGAAGGAACAGAAGTGAGTTACAGTGTTACATGCTTTGATCTGCTTTGTATTGACATTATTAGGTACCTCATGATGCCCAACCGACAAACCATTCACATCTCCGCTTTGTACGGTGAACAAGAAGAGGAAATCCCAGGCGCAACCTGTGGAGACCAGATCCGTGTGAGGCTTCGGGGTGTTGAAGAAGAAGACATTCTGCCTGTAAGCAAAGATTGGAAGATTGTTCTGGTTGCTTGCTAACTTTGATGACCAGGGATACGTTCTGTGCTCACCAAAGCGCCCCGTCCACTGCGTCTCCCAGTTCGAGGCTCAGGTCGTACTGCTTGACATCAAGTCTATCCTAACAGCCGGATTCAACTGCGTGCTCCACGTCCATGCCGCACAAGAAGAGGTTACCATCACCGCCCTACTGCACAAGCTGGAGAAGGGCACTGGAAGGAAGTCGAAGAAGGCACCTGGTTTCGCTACCAAGGGCATGAGCATCATCGCGCGCTTGCAGATCACTGGTACAGCGGGAAACATCTGTGTCGAACGATTCGAGGACTACCCACAGCTGGGACGTTTCACCCTCCGTGACCAGGGTCAGACAATCGCTATTGGCAAGATCACTAAGCTCATCACCGACGAGGCTTAGATGGTTGATCAAATCACACAAGACCGGCCCGCGAGGAGGAAGAGGAGGAGCCGGATATCTGTATTGACGAAAAGCTGTCGCCATTGAGGCAACATAGCCTGAGGTTCCACGGCGTTTGGACGCAAGGCTAGCATAGACCGAGCATCCGGACAATATGATGACGAGTATTCTTCCGATTCTAGTCATTGGAGTTCCTGTGTGTGATGATCTTCTACTGTACATGTATGATTCTCAGGGCTCGGAGATAAGCGTCACGGCACTGCTGTGAGACAAGCCTTTTAGTGCCGCAATCAACAGCAACCTTAATTGACCTTCCAAGTCAGGAAGTTGGATGCGTGTGCATGAAGGCTAGCGAGACGCAGAAGTCCATGACGTCACGACGCGTCTTCCAGTGAAAGAGCCTCGTCGCGTGACAGTCGCGTCACAGCCATCCATGGATGGATAGCAAGGCTAGGTATGCTTACGTCATCCACTCCCGCGGCCAAATTTCGCGACCGTCGCTCACGCAATGAACCTCTCAACCACCACGAACCTGCGCACGCTGCGTAAACCTCCCTCCCCCACCCGCCACGATGCAGGGCTTCAACATGGGGCGGTACTACCCGCCCGACGCCTCGAACCCACCCAGCTTCAACAACTCCTCGCACCCGCTCGGCAAACGCGCCAACAAGATCACCCAAGGCATCCTAACCGTCCGCTTCGAACTCCCCTTCGCCGTATGGTGCAACCACTGCACCCCACCCGCCATAATCGGCCAAGGTGTCCGCTTCAACGCCGAAAAGAAGAAAGTAGGAAACTACCACACCACGCCCATATGGAGTTTCCGCATGAAGCACAGCGCGTGCGGCGGGTGGTGGGAAATACGGACCGACCCGCAGAACAGCGAATACGTAGTCGTTGAAGGGGCACGACGACGCGACTATGGACCTACTGCCAAGGACGATACAGCGGATGGTGAGCTGAAGTTCCTGACAGAGGAGGAGAGGCAGAAGAGGCGGGACGATGCTTTTGCGAATCTAGAAGGCAAGATGGAGGAGAAAGGGATTGAGAAGAAGAATAGGGAGAGGGTGGAGGAGTTGTATGATAAAGCGGAGGTTTGGCGGGATCCGTACGATGTCAATGCGAAGTTGAGGGAAGTGTTCCGTGGGAAGAGGAAGGTGTGGAAGAGGGAGGAGAGGCATAAGGAGGGTATGCAGGAGAAGTTTAGTTTGGGGTTGGATATTGTGGATGAGATCGAGGCGGATAGGACGAGGGCTGGGCTTGTGGAGTTTGGCGCTGCTGCCACGGCTGGCGAGGGGTCGTTGGAAGCGCTTTCATGGAAGCCATTGTTTGGGAAGGCGGAGGTGAAGGATGAGAAGGCTGTGGAATCGGCTCGTGAGACGAAGAAGCTCAAGGCGGACGTAGCGAAAGAGAAGTCGAGGCTGGAGTTGCAGCAGACGCTGGTGGGTAACACGAGGGCGGTGGTTGATCCATTCCTGAACAAAGAGGCTTCAGCGACGTCGAAAGTCAACCTCGGCATCCTGAAGAGAAAAAGAGACTCTGAAACGAAGGACGCAGTTGCGATCTCATCATCATCTGATCAAAAGACGGAGAAGACGGACACTACGGTACCGACGAAGAAGCCGGCATTACTAGGGGCGCTGGTGGGATACGATTCGGACTGACAGCACGCTCACGCATCGATTCACGGCCGCCTCTTGACACTACTCTTGCATTTACTGGCGTTTGGGTGAAGGAGCATATGATACCCCATTTCCTTTTCATTCACTATCAGCATTTCACGCATACCGGTCTTCTGCTGCAGGTCGGCGTTCACACTTGCCGCGGTCAGGGAGCTTCACACAATGGCATCAGCTTACGTTCACTATTGCAGTCGCCCGCTCGCCGCTCATCTAACACGATTTTGAAGATCCCTCGATGGCCTTTACTGCTGGTACAACCCTGAAAGTTACACTCGCTCATCTTCCACATCGTCAGCATCTGGCCAATACCAAATCCTTGGCAGTCATGAGTTCAACACAAACCCACGATGATGACACACTACAGGTAACTGCTGGGCAGTCACCCAGGGGTATCGGGGATCTACCACCAGAGCTGCTTCTGAAAATCGCCGACTTCGCTGCGGTCACCGATACGAACTCCAAGAAAGTTCTCTGCAAGCTCTGTCTAGTCAAGCCTCTCAACCCAGCCGCGACGGAAGCGCTTTACGCCAACATTCATGCCGGTGCCGACTTCAACCCCGTCCTTCTCATACGAACCCTCCTCAGCCATCCCTCTCTCGCCGCCCTGGTGCGCTCGCTCAAGCTAAATGCAGTCTGGAACGGATATCGGAACCAGAAGTACCGAATAGCGGTATTGAACAGCGATGACCCCAACACCCCTCCAGTAACCCTCGAAGACTTGCAGGGTTTAACTACAGACCCCGTCGTCAAACGGCTACTGCAAGCTCCAGATATTCACTTCGGCGCTGCAGCATGTGCATTGCTATATCTCCACACACCAAATATACATACTCTAAAGTACGCCGTAGAAGGCCACTACCGCAAACTCAATCTCCCAGAGCTCTCCATCATGGTATCCACGCGACCATGGGAAATCCCCTTCCTACCCTCCCCGCTCTTGGCGACGCCACCAACCTACAACCTCCTCAAGAACGTCACCATACGAACCCCCCACATAGACATCGACCGCATCGCAAAGCTCCTCCAACTACCCAACCTACACCAACTAGAAGTCTGGAACCTGCGCGAACTCCAACCACGGCAGTCCTGGCATTGGGACGCGAGTCTATTCCCCGACCACACATCCACCGTCCGCCATCTCACTCTGCGCGGCGGCTACCTCCACGTCGACGTCTTGAGTCTGGTGATACGATGCTGCAAGTCGCTGTCACACTTTGCTTACCACATGGCGCGGAATCATAACCATAGGTTCCAGCTGTGGACGAAGTTCGATAGGCCAACGACTATTCATTTCGGCGTCGTTGTTGAGGCGTTGGGGAAACATCGGGAGACGCTAAGGCATCTGGCGCTGTATAACACGGGGGCGACGGATAGACGCGTGGCTCCGAACTGGATCCCCGCGTCTCTCGCTGACTTGTACAAGCTTGAGAATCTGTGTGTAGACGCTAGCGTCGTCTTTCCCCGCTACGCATGGGGTAGGCTGAAAGATTTACTTCCCGCTTCGCTCAAGCGACTGCATCTACTGCATACCTGGTACGACTTGATGACGGATTGCGTCTTTGTGAGTGGGGCGTTGTATAAGATGTATGATAGGTACCTGTTCCCTCATCTGACCCATGTGGAGTTGGAGGTGAACAGGGAGTTTTGGCGTTGGGCGGAAGAAACGGAGAAGGAGGATGAGGGGTTTGTGTATAGGGCGTCGGCTGTTAAGGCGTTGAGGGAGAAGGGGGTTAGGGCTGTTTATAGGAATAGGGAGGATATGGGGAGTGAGTGGGCGGTTGTTCGGGGGTGGGACGGGGACTGAAGGGTGTGAGATTTGTCGAGTTCACGTTGGGTATGCCCGGGGCTATACACTGCTTTATGCTTTGCTACTCTAGGCTTCGTTTAGTATCTTCACGCTCCCCGTCGAGCGCTGCAATACATTGCTTCTACAGTTGGTGTTCGTGTTGGTGAAAGTGATGCCACTGACTGCTTTTTCCTCTTTGGTACCTCACCAGAAGTCTCTGCGACGTTCCGTATCACCGGTACGTCATGAGCGCCCTAGCGCAGCAGGCACGAGATTCGCCACCCGCCAGTATATAATCTGCTCGTCCCCCGTCCCCACTCCTCTGACACCACTCAAGCTATTGCCCTAAATGGGATTAGCACATCTTTGCCGCATCTCGGTGCTCCACCTGACACCCCGCTTGTTTAGTCGGCTGCAAGTGCGAATTAACGTTCGCGACCTTTGGGGAGGATCGGTTACATACTTACCACTTTGTTTAACACTCCATCACCAGGGGCAGCCACGGCGCCGGCCACCGTTTTTGTTCCGAGGACGGTGGCCTCTTTTTTTTGTAAGTCCAAATTCTTACCTTTTACTCCTGCGAGATGTTAACAGCTTCACATGGCACAACATTGGCTTCCGTTCTTGTCGCTACTCGCGATTGGATCATGGGTGAGAGTGCCGGAGAGGGTAAGTGTTGACTGCAAGACTGGTGCTAGACTACTACATATCATCCACATACTCACGTCATGATTGATACATGTTACCCAGGAGGTATTCACTGTGATTCTGTGCAGTGAAGATCATGCTCATGTGTCGATGTCTCTGCCCGACATCCGTGTCGAGTAGACGCACAAGCCTGCAATTGTAAATGTAGAAGTCTGTTGACCCGCATCCGTCACGTCGATCTGGTGGATCGCTACCTATCCTGCACTTCATCGCAGAGGCGTGTTTGCATATCCGGTAATGACAACGGTGACTACAAATGAGGTTGATAACAGGCCGGTCATGGTATACCTTATAGAGCGCTCAAGGGGTGAGATCTCGGGAATGTTACCGAAGGGGCTTTCAGCCTCAGACTTGATGTCGGGTGAGAGTTGAAGATGGTCGCCATCCAAGACAACTAGCCCCACGTCAAGGAACCATTCCGTGGTCAGAGTCAGCATCAAAGACGCCTCAGTAGCTTGCGAGGCCTCATCGAAAAGGACCATGTCAAACTTGTCTGCATCTGACAGCCCTAGAATACGCTGAATGACCTCGCGCTGAGAGGCTGCGGAGGTGGCGGCGACTAGTCGAGGCTTGCCGATGCATGCCTTCATGAGCTCCCGGATGGCTGAGCCGCGAGACATTGTAGCGCCAGAGACCTTCACCTGACCGGTCTCAAATTTGCACTTCTGCTTGGCCCTCGCATCGGCGTACTTGGTGTAGATGAGGCATGATTCCTCAGTCGGGCTGTCGCGAGCGTACTTGGCCATCTTGTACGCGGAGCAGTCGGGGATGTTGGATGTGGAGATGGAACTGATCGATCCATCGAAGTTATCGTCATCGTCGGTATCGTCCCAGTGACGGTTGAGTTCCTTGAAGAGCGCCTCGTCGACGGTGCTAGCTCCTACACGACACGAAATGCCCTCCCCGATCCATTGCGAACGGTTCTTCCGTACTCATTTGACGACCTTCTCAAAGACCGCGTCAACGCCATTGTTGGACTGGGCGCTGACGAAGACGTGATAGCCCATGAGGACCATTGCGACGCAGATGGCGCGGAGAGTGTGAGATTCGCCGGTGCCCGGGCAGCCTTCGAGCACGAGAGTGGCGGCAGTGTATCCGCGAAGCGCAATCAAGTATGCCTGCTTCTGCTCCAGATCCAACCCCCCGAACAAGTCCCTGAGCTTGTAGGCGAAGCGAAAAGCCCTTGCAAAATCATGCGCTGCTAGACAACTACATAAGCTTAGTTTGGGCTGGGATACACGCGATGGTGGTGGTAGTCAAATACATAGACCATTACAAGTGCTGAGATGCATGCAAAGGACGCAGAGGACGAATACGATAGTGCGATAAGTAGGTCGCTGTTATATGGAGAACTAGGGAGTACCTCCAGGGTCCTACATGGCGTGCGGTAGCCTTTCAATGATGGGGAATGTCGCCAACATCCTACCTAGGTAAGGTTGGGACTGGAGATGGCCCAGGGTGCTGAGCAGATGCGCACGGTGATCGTGTCGACAGAAGATACCGTCATGCCTTCAACAATACACGTTGAGGTCCATTGTCTTATGCGGTAAGTTTAGCATTACGTAGGATACCTATCTTTGTGCCGAGGTGGCTACGTCATGTCGACGCGAACTAGCGTCGCGCTAGTCAGCTAGGAAGGAGACGCGTCGTGCGATCACGATCAATCACCCATCCGTCTCAACTCATCCATCTACACAACAGAGATCATCTCGGCCACTCCTGCAGCCATCGCATTGCGCGATTGCACACTGCCAGATGTGCAGATGCGAACCCCAATCTAACGCGTTCCTTGCGATGGACGACAACGTGCATGAAGTATGCACGACCATGCGGCGTCTGGTCAATTTTCAGGCCATGAGGTGATGTAGTCCACACGCTCCAACCGAATACTGGATGCCATCTTTGTTTATAGCAGCCTTGCGACAACTCCAAATCTCTTATGATTTGCGGCTGCATCAACGCGAAAGAGTTCGGTCGGCCACTGGTCCTCACACGGTAGTGAGATCCAACCTTAGCCTGCTCATGTTGCTCTCGCGAAACCAACATATCAACGTGTCAGGCGTTCAACAACCCTTCGTCGAGGTCACTGTCGCGACCAGGAAGCTTCACTCTGACTAGCAACGGTCGTGCACCCCCTCCCTCTCACATGAGCCGATCTTGCTGTGCCTCACGAACGCATCTTCCCCTGGAATAGCGGAGGATTTACCTCATACAGTCCAGATTGATAGTGTGTTCAGGAAGAAGTTGATGATAACTCAAACGCTTGGTAGACAGGATGTTGCTCGCTTTTATAGCCGCCCTTCGTCTGACCGCAACGACCAGACATTCCGTTCTTCTTCTGAGTGTCGGCTACCTGGTCACCTCCCGCGGTCACAACTGTTGATCAAAGACGCATATCGGAAGTTGACAGGCGGCTGATGCATGCTCAACAATTCGGTTAACCGGAAGAATCCTTTCAGCTCCTTGCCCAACCCCACGCGACGTTATTATTTCCCAATGTGTAAGAATCCTACATGGCCGGGGTCGCTTCCCACAGCATGGTACCCACTATGAAGCCTAACTACGAGTCAGTCTCCGAGGAGCTGTCCCCAAAGGCAAGAGTGGTTGAGGAAGCAAATGATTATGGGTTGATCAACAATCTCTCGAACCTATTGGACATCCTTCCAGATCTCACCATGAGCAAGATTCTACTCACGGGCGCTACAGGATACGTTGGCGGCACTGTTCTCGCCCAGCTCATTGCAAGCACAGCACCGAGCATCAAAGATCTCACTTTTGACCTCCTCATCCGCGACGAAACGCAAGCTCAGAAGCTCAAAACCGTATACGGCTCCCGTGTAAACACCATCAAATGGTCCGGCCTGGAAGACGTAGCCTTTATCGAAGACACAGCGTCCAACTACGACATCATCATCAACACAGGCTCTGGCTTCATTCCTGGAGGCGCCATTGCCTTTGTCAATGGACTCGCTCGCGGCATCGATGCTGGCAAGCCGGCGCCATGGATACTGCACATATCAGGCTGCACCAATCTGTCCGACCGTCCCATATCGCAACCTCGACGACCCATACGAGAATGGAACGACGAGACGGACAAAGGCAAAATCTTCAGCTTCATGAGAGCACTCGATGAGATGGAGCCCTACACGCAGCGGACAACCGAAGTGGGCGTCTTGGAGGCTGCTGATGCTACTGGCGTACAGGCTATCAGTATCAACACACCATGCATCTTTGGCGAAGGCAGCGGCCTGTTCAACAGACAAGGCTTGGTCATTCCCTTGATCATGATGTACGTTGTACAGCATGGATACGGCTGGAAGCTCAATGAAACAGCGAACTTCGATTGGGTTCACGTCATCGATCTCGCCGACATCTACGTCCTTCTCGTACGGAAGATCCTCGAACGCGAAGATCGCGGCGTCGGTTACCTCCCATCCGGCAAGAACGGTGTCATATTTGCGGCCGTCGGGCGCACACTTATCAAGGACATCAACCAAGGGTGTCTAGATGCAGCATTCGCTGACGGTACCTTGCCACGTGAAGGTACTCCCAAGCAGAAGGAGATTCGATCTGTGCCGCTGCATGAGATTGCCGACAAGCTCACTGCGGGTCGTCGCGATATCGCGGAGCGTGGTTGGGGTGGGCATAAAGCTACGAAAGCGGTACTTGCACGCAAGCTATTGGGCTGGAAGCCAAAGAGACAGCAAGATGCTTGGGAAGCTGACTTCCAAGCCGAGTTGATTGCACTGAAGGAGAACAGGCGCATGGTGACGATGGAGAGCTGCATCGGCGCGACTAAGAAGTAAGCGACGAGGAGCCATCTTCGAGACCTATCCAAGGAGCGAAAGGATCTATACTGCGTATCGACGATTTCTTCTAGTTGGTCACCTTGAAGCTCCTCTGGCGCTCTTAAAACGCAAATAGAACTACGATACGACAATTCCTGCTTTCGTTCTCATCGCGATCCAAACGTGAAAATCGCTCCCCGCTCAGAAGGTCCTCGACGCGTTTCATGCAACAGCGTACGCGGCTCACGCATCCTTCAGCCGGGAATAACATCCCATCGGAGCTGCCTGCCATCCTAAGCGGCAGGTCCCTTGTGTAGGATTTAGCCACGGCATGCGGCGTGGGGTAATGTCCGCCCTCGAGTCAGTGCGGCGTGGAAGTTTATGCGACTCTACCGAGTATGAGCTCATCTTTGCGTCAAAATCCTAACCGAGCCTCACAGACCACCAAGAGTTGCTTCTATTCAGATAATGCAACGGCAGTCTTAGCGCGGCCAGGGGATAGCGATACTGGCTCCAGTGAGATGGTGATCAGACATGAAAGAGATGCCAATTCGAGCCGCGACTGCATGGGCGTCCAAGGCCGTTGCACTGGGGCGAAACGACAACCATGTGATTTACCAACAGACATAACGATCGCCAGCCTGTTCTCCCACGCCGTGAGGCACGGCGGGTGGCCCCGAGTAGGCCAATAGGTTTAGTTATGTCTTCATCTGTGGCTGCAGTGGCACTGGGCTTTGGACGGAAAATCTTCTCCACACGCATCAGTTCTTCTTTGGTGTTTGGCCATCGCAGATGTCTCCACTGCAGAACATGTCTCGTCAAATTCAGCCTCGCGGACTCGAGAGTGACACAAAGCAGTCTTCATTGTTCGCCATCGGCATCCCCTTCATCGCAATCGCCAGTGTCGTAGTATTCCTACGCGTCTATGTTCGTGTACGCTTGATACGGCTGAAACTGGCTACCGACGATTGTGAGTTGATCTCTATAGCTAACTTTAGCAAGCAGCATACTGACAGAGCTGAACTCAGATTTGATAATCTCTGGCGCATTCTTCACCATCTCGCTGTCAGTTGCTAACATGGTTTGTAAGTTTACGAACCTCACGTCAGAGTGATTGAGCTCAAGATTGACTAATAGCCTGTTCGTAGGCGGCTGGTACGGTGTAGGCAAGCACAGTAAGCAGTCAATACTGATCATCTGCTCGAAACTCAGCTGACGGCCTTACAGCACCCAACATCTCCAACGAAGACCTCACTCCTATGTTGAAGGCAAATCTCGCGACACGCCTACTCTACGTTGTAGCGATATGCCTCGTCAAATTCAGCATCCTCGTTTTCTACCATCGACTAGACCCTCGACGACCCACGAGATGGATTGTGTACTTCTTAATGGCATGGGTAGCCGCCCTATCCATTGTAACTTTCTTTGTGCTGTTATTCGTCTGCACGCCGCCGTCGCTGTTTTGGAATCCCGAGGGTCAGGCTCTGCATCCAGAGAAGTGCCTCAAGCAGGACACGCAGCAAGTGTTCTTCAACATCAACGGCATTATGAAGTAAGCATTGCAACCAAAGTCGCAACTTCATGCAGTCTCGTTGACTCTCGCGCACTACAGCATTGTTCAAGACTTCGCCATATACATCCTACCAATGCACATCGTCTGGAAGCTGCAGATGCCGCGCGGTCAAAAGATCGCTTTGTGCGCTCTCCTTGGTGTCGGCCTGGTCGCAGTTGCAGCTGGTTGTGTGCGCTTCTACTACGTTCTCTTCCTTTCCGACGAAGCCGATATTTGGTACTACATGGCCGACTCTTTGAATTGGTGCAGCATCGAGATCTACGCAGGTATGTCTCCTCTCAAATCTTTAATCAAATCCCTCAAGGCTGACTTTGTGTTTTTGTAGCCATCATATGCAGCTCGGCATCCACCTTCAAAGTCCTCATCAAGACCTACCTTCCCAAAGTCTGGAGCAGCGCCGGAAGTCACGACAAGGCTTCTGGCACATCTCGACGTACACAGTCCGACCGATCGCGTAGTGGCAAGTTTGAGATGAAGCGTTTTGGCATCTCGTCGAACAAGTCAAACAGCAACAGGAAGTACGGGATTGAGGGGCTCACAGACCTTGGAAACGAAAGCGAGGAAGCCATTGTGCGACCTGAAAGCAAGATGGGCAGGGATATCGCGGTCTTCGTGACGCAACACTAGCTCATTTGAAAAGTCGCAGTCTCAAATGAAGCTGGACAGCTTGGTGCTGAGCGAAAGAGATAGACAAAAGCATAGCTTGCTGGGAGTTCTGGCGCCAATCAATCATTGAGGTCAGATTGTGCTGTCCGGATTGCTTCTCTAGCTTGTATGCTTATGGATCGCAACGGGAAGGCAAGCCACTTGGCTATATCGTGAACTGGAAGACAAGGATACGACAATGCATTTCCATCACGTGCTGGGCACTCCAGAAACCGCATATATGATACCCATCACGCGTCGCATGGGTAAGAGTGGAAGTGTGCACCCGCAGAGCATCTCTTGCGAGGGAAAAGCAATGAGCGATTTGGGACGGGAAGTGTTCTGGGTCCAGATCGCTGCCTAGTGGCACCGCGGAAACTAGTGGTGATCCGCCTTTCCCTTTTCAGTCATAACGCGGCACGCCTTACATTCACCCTGAGGCAGCCGCCCGTGAACGTCTTCTGGGCTCCGCGCTCGAGCGTTCGTTGCCTTGAAAAAATTCTATTCATGGCTTCGTTCAGGCTGACCCGACAGGCCTCGCGCATTGCAGCCTGGCGCGTGCCCAGATGTAGCATAGCTCGTTCTACACCGTACCTGTCTTCGAGTCTACAAATGCAAAGACAGATTCCCATAGTCCGCTATCAACAATTCACCTCAACATCGCATACCGCTACCCCTGCAGGGAAAGAGACAATGGAAGAAAGCCTTCGCAATATGGATCTTGATGCGGCGGAGAAGCACATGAAGGACTGGTTCGGTGACCATGCATCATGGAGTCACGAACAGCTGCTCAATCTTGTTTATGGTACTAACCCTTCATTCAACTCATGACCATACACTAACAAATACAAGAGGAGGACCTCGTATCAGTGCGAAACCTACAGGGCTTTAGTGACTACAGCACTGGCGGTCGCAGACCCGGCGGCGGCCGTCCGTCTTTCCCACTCATGACACAAGAAGAATACGGGCTGCTGACCGCGCCATACAGTCAATGGGCTCCTGCACCTTTCAACAGAAACCACTACAGTTGCATGGACCGCATTGCACCGCTGATGAAGAGGCAAGAAATCCCAGAGCTCCGAAGATCACCACACATGGGCTTCCTCGCGCGTCTACGCCCTCTCAAAGCAAAGCTCTTGCTTGGTATGGTGCCAATCAGCGGAGATCGCTGGGTAGAACGCAAGATGGATGACCCTGCCAACTACAGGAATCTCTTCGAATTGATCAATGACCTCACCAAGATATTTGAATGGTTCAATCACGAGGAGGTCCACACCCGGACTCGCGACGCTTTCAACTGGATGGTCGACAGATATGTCGAATTCCAGAAGGCAGCCAATTTGCGACGCGAACAAAATGGCGTCGAAGAGAGATTGGATCTTGCTGGAATGTGGGCAGAGTACTGGAACGACGGGATGACAAACATGTCAACGCGGACGCATCAATGGGTTGTAGATCGTGTCGATGAGGTTCAAGCGCGTGCCTTCGAACAGTACAAAGATGCTCTCAAAACCGCTGGAACCGACGAAGTAGCTATAGGAGAAGCCGGCAAGAAGTACTACGAGTGTGTCCAAGATCTCAGAGGCATGCTCACCAGACTCGAGTACACAATCGGCGTCCCCATGACCGGTTTCAAGGGCTACACAGCCACCAACGCCTTCACCGACCTCCCAATCGCACAACGAAAAAACACCTGGTCCCAAATCATGGGAAGCAAGTCCTTCAAGCACCAACTAGCCATCTTAGAGGCGGAAGACAAAGCCGCCGCCGACCAAGCCGCCAACCCACCCTCCCTAGCAGAACAAATGGACATAATGGGCCAACTCACTAAGCCAGCTCACCCCCGTTTCCGCGACACCGAGAATCTCCTTGGTCACTACGAAGAAGGCAAGAAGAACCGCGACGAAACCCGCCTCGCCCTCTGCGGTCCACCCAAACCTGCTGCGCAAGAACACTGGATCACCATTCTACGCGAGCGCATGGAATTTTACGCGAAGAACCCGCGCAACCTCGAGAGAAATCCCGATGCATGGGGTTTCGTATGCTACCGCCTCACCTACTCGGAAACAGACGAAGAATGGGCCACCTTCGAAGAAAACTTCACCAAAGACGTCATGCGATCTGGGACGTGGATCTCCGGCTTCGACAACATCAAGAGCAAGGCCAAAATCATATTCATCGACGGCCGAGAAGCTGGGATCGCGGAAGGCGACATCGCGGCTGCGAAACAGCATTTCAAGCGGACTTTCACCATGCTACCCACGCTAGGCCGTATGTGGACGCAAGATTTCCTCGTCGTAGACAAACAAGCCTTCAAATCGCATGTCGACCCCCCAACCGAGGAAACCAGACCGCCACCGCCGTACGGTGCGTCGTGGGGAAGTAATGGCGGCCATGTGCGCCTCGTAGACACAACATTAGACCTGCTCTCCCAGGAGTTTATCGACCAAGTATCACCAGGTTACAAGGGCGAGATGAAGATTTTGTCGAGCCTGCTTCTGGAAGAACTTTATCCGCTGCTTGCGACGCTGTCTGTTCGTCCATTTGGACTTTGGCCTTGTGCGCGGTTGCATCCGAGGGAGGTTTATGTGGGGACTACGGATGCGGCGCAGGAAGGGTGGTGGGAGTTTAGTCGGATTGATCAGAGTTTGATGCAGGGGTTCTTTCAGAGTATGAGGGGGAGGCAGGCGGATTTGAGGGCTAGGGGGAGTTGATTGGTTGGGGAGGAGCGATTCGTTCGTCTCACATGGCTGCACGCCTACTTACGGCTACCGACAATTTCTCCTATTGATCTTCAAACTCTTCCTTCAGCTCCAGAAATTCTGTTATGTAACCCACAAGCTCCTTCAACTCCTCATCATTATCGTCCTCGTATGTCGCGTCTTCCGGCCACCTCCCTCCGGCTCGCAAGATGGCGCTTCTCGACTCTCCGGTCTCACGTACTCGCTCTTCCCAGTATGGTTGTTCAAGTTTCTCTTTCAAGAACGTGTAGCGTTCTTTTTGGGCCTGCTTCTCGGGAGTCGTGATGGTGTTTGAATTCTGTGTTCCTCGTCGCGCCTTTTTCCTCTTCTTCTCCGACTTGTCGTTGACTTGGTTTGTATACACCGCCCACATTATACGTTGTTGTTCCGAGGCATGCACATCTTCCCAACCTGGTACGCCTTCAGGGAACTCATATCCCATGGAAAGTGCTTGGCGCTGTAGGTCCGCGATATGCTCTAGGTACTGCCGGTCTGCTTCCCGTTGCTGAATCGCTTTGAGTCGTTTCGTTCTAGCAGCTAGTCGTTTCGAGGTAAGCGGCGTCTTCTTCTCACCGCTCGCATCGCTTTTAGGGGAAGTGAGGGTGTCAGTGTAACCCATACTAGCCAACCAGCCATCCAACAGCTCGGCATCTCCTTCTAACCGCGTCACCTCCACATTCCCCAGTAGTTCGTAGCCAGGGATATTCAGCGGGAAGGGTACCTTATCCTCCTCAGCTTCTTTCCTGTACCCCGCGAGTTTCAACATCCACGCCCTCTCCACTTCAACACTTCTACCCAGACTCAACGCCTCTCTCGTCGCATTCTCCTCTTGCATGTCCGAGAAGTACGGTTGATTACTTCCCGGGATCAGCACCCCATTCTGCCTAGCCATCTCTCGCCGCTCCTGATCCCTCGCCTCCCTCGAGCTATCATCCTTCCATGCCTGTTGTCTAGCTCGCAGGAGTCGTCTACGCTCGTCCCGCGTCATCGCCACGTGGGCACCAGAGGGAGTTAAGGTACCGGGTGGCCCGGCGCCACCTGTACAGAGATAGTCTTCATCGGGGTCTTCGTTTGATGTGTAGGTAAGGAGTGTAGCTTGCTGTCCATCGACCGGCGAGGTGTAGATGTCGGGAGATTTGTCATACGATACTATGTCTTGAGCGTGTGATTTGGGTGCCGGACCGGGTGGGTAGGGGGTTAGACATGTGGTGCAGAATGGGGATGTAGATGGGCTGTCGAAGTGGCAGAGGGGACAGCGAGTTGTGGGTGGCGTGGGTTGGCCTGCCGGTTTTGACATCTTTCCGTTCGGTGCATCGCGCTTCCGAGACCGCAACGCCCTCAGTTCTTCATCGGAGAAAGGCGTGAAAATCGTTTCTTGTCTCCGCTCTTCTTTCGTCAATCCCTTCCTCATCGCAGCGTCTACCTCCCTCCTCTCAGTCCGTGTCACAACATCCCCCACCTTCTTACTGTTCTTACCCTGCTGCGCATCCCTAGTCATCACACTTCCCCCATCCTCCCCGCCCTCCCCATCCTCCCCCGTCCCCGCCAAATCCAATTCCACCATCTCAAAAACCCCCCTCACCACCCCCGCCCTATGCACATCCCTCACATATCTCGGAATACCCCTACAAATACCTCTACACACCCTAGACACATGTTTACATACACAAACGCCCATAGCGGTGCTTGTCCTCCCCAGGTGCGCCATATGAGTGAGGGTACATCGTGCGGTTGCGGGTATGATGCCGAAGCGTGCGGTTGGCGAGGTGGGGTAGAAGGAGTTGGTTTTGGGGCGTTTTTGTGGGGGTTGGTTGGGTTCGGAATGATGGGATGGTAAGTATGGTGCGTATGGTTGAGGGGGTTGTGAGGGGTGGGGCTGGTGGGGTTGATGGTGGTATGAGGGGGTTTCTGGGTTGGGATGGGAGTCTAAAGAGGTTCTAGGTCTCTTTTGTGGTATTCTCTGGTGAGGGGGAGGGTTGGAGCTTTTCAGAGACGCTGTGGCAACTTCTGTCGTCACGACATTTTGTGGTTTTCTCTGGTATAACCCAACACCGTGGTCTCTGCCAAACGCAGCGTCAACTTCCGCCATCGTCACGTTTCGTGCGCGACTCGCATCAGATATCTTTGGAGGAACATGTATCCTTGAAGTTGCGATGCTTCTCATTCGAGCGTATCTCCTCGCGTAAGGGTCGCATGGAGCGCTGCAAATGGGTTTGGCTCGTCGTTGTTGAGTCATCGTACTGGCAGTGAGAGAATGTAGGATGAGCATTTCGGTACCATGGCTCACGAATGTTGGTGATGCGTGCTAGATCGGGATAAAGGTGAGTGTGTACAAAGACTTTGTATGGTATAGCGCGAGTGATAAGAGTGGCGAAATCGAACAAAGGGTGGTTTGGCAAGACAAAGGGAACATAAGCCTGGATAACGGGAAGATGGCAAGAGCCTTGTCGACGAGTGGCGCTGGATGCAGCAACGAGTTGTGTTGCAGTTCTAAGGTTTGCTGCATACATACCATTGTATCTTAGTAACTAGGTAGTCTGGAATGTATACTTCTAGCTGGATTAGATCTTCTAAGTTCCTTTAGGATACGATACGAATTGTTGCCGCCCCAAGTAACGGGAGGCGAAACATAATACAGTGCAACATAAAACCGGGGTAACTACAAAGAGTTTAGAGATCAATAGGAGAAATTGCCGGTAGCTGTAAATGAGCGTGCAGCATACATGAAGATGAGAAGTTGCAAAGTAGGTGAACTAACGTCGGCGTAGGCTCTACGGTGTTGAGCATTTTCCTTGAATGAGGTTATCACTTGAGGTGATCTTCGTAGGTCGTTTCATTGCGCTTTCCCTCTACAATTAGTCATCACCCATCCAGCCAATCAGAAGCCACGGCGTCGACTCATCCTGAGCCGAGCGCCATCCGTCTTAGCATCGCGCATTCCCTGCCACAGGGTCAGGCTAGCCCTGCTTGGCCATGTCTTCCTTCGTGTATATGAGCTGGGAAGTTGCTAATACACAGAATCACCATAATCGACAGTCCAAGATACCATTCCAGGCACTCCACTGCTAAGCTCGCTATTCCACGACCACACTTTCACAATGGTACGCAAAGCGAAAGAGGCAGCACCAGCCGCGGAAGAGCATCACGGCGGTGGACACATAACAGTCACGGCGCAGCAGTCGCGGTACGCAGTTGATTCTGTCGATGCACCCGCGTCGAAAGAGGTAGGCGTGCCCTCACCTCTCCCTCATACACCATATTGAACCATGTAGATACTCGTCAAAGACCTGTCCATCACAGTCGCCAACCGAGAACTACTATCACGTACAACACTTCACCTGGTAGAAGCACGCCACTACGTGATGGTAGGTCGAAACGGGACAGGGAAGTCTACACTCCTCAAAGCCATCGCCGATGGTCTGGTTCCGGGTATACCATGGAGTACGCGCATTCTGCTTCTGGGTCAGACGAGAGAGGACGACTTGGGAGATGAGATGACTGCGTTGAGCCTGGAGAGCGAGACTGTCTTGCAGCATGTTGTCCGGAGTGATCGGGTTCGAGAGCGCTACGTGCGAGAAGCGAAATTGCTTAGTGAGGCGGTCGAGAACTCTGTTGATTCCATGGCACCGGTTCAGGCGTACAGGCGTATTGAGCATGAGAGGTTAGCGCTGCAACTGAGAGAAGGACACCGGATTGCTGAGAGGAGAAGTGGTGCGCGGGGTAAGGCAGCCAGGAAGGAGCTGATTAAGCTTGAAGAGCGCTTCGAAGAATCTGAGAAGCGGCTGCAAGAGACCGAGATCGATGCCACGAAGCTCAGCGAAGAGACACAAGCAGCTGCGGATTTGCTTGCTGGCGTGCAAGCCTCCCTCGAGCTCATGGATGCAGCTGAGGCAGAAGCAAAAGCGCGCGTGGTTTTGCTAGGCCTTGGCTTCAAGGAGGATCGCATCGACAGGCCCGTGTCGGAACTCTCAGGAGGATGGAAGACGCGCTGCGATCTAGCTTGTGCTCTCACACAGTATGCGGACGTACTACTTCTGGACGAGCCCACCAACTTCCTAGACTTGCCGTCAATTATCTGGCTACAAGACTATATCCGCAATCTCAAAGGCACGACTGTCCTCATAACGACCCATGATCGCGACTTTGGAGACGCGGTAGCCGAAGAGCTCATTGTCCTCCGCAACCAGGTTCTCGAGACTTTCCGCGGTAACCTCAGTCTGTACGAGCGCGAAAGATGGAAGAAGGCCAGGTACATGACTAAGATGAAGGATGCCCAGGACAAGCAGAAGAAGCACATTGAGAAGACCATCGCAGGCAACATCAAGGCCGCCAAGGACAAGGGAGACGACAAGAAATTGAAACAGGCTGCGTCTCGGAAGAAAAAACTTGATGATAGAATGGGGCTGCAGGTCAGTGCCAAAGGTGGTCGCTTCAAGCTGAACCGCGATCTCGCAGGCTACCACACGACGCAGCGGGCGGAGATTGAGATTCCTGATTTTGATCCCCCAGTGCACCTCTCCTTCCCACATCAGCCGCCCGAGTTGAAGTTTCCCGGGGCACTGGTAAGTATAGAGAAGGTGTCATTTGCATACCCTGGGCGAAAGAAATTGCCCATCTTGACCGACGTCAGTCTGACCATACATCCGAGGGACCGGGTAGGTTTAGCAGGCCTGAACGGTTCGGGCAAGACGACGCTGGTCTCCATAATAATGGGCGGTGATAGCGAGGGCGGTCTCAAGCCCACATCTGGCAGTGTCGCGCGCCATGCAAGGGTGAAGATTGGCCGCTTCTCGCAGCAGTCGGTCGAAGAGCTCACTGCGACCGCGGCTGCCAACCCTCAGACGACAGCGCTCCGGCACGTAATGGAAAGTATTGGCGAGGGCGCACAGGAGAAGGATGCGCGGACAGTGCTGGGTGGACTGGGACTCCATGGCCAGACGGTGTCGGACGTTCCGCTCGTGCTCCTGTCGGGAGGGCAGAAGGTCAGGGTCGCACTTGCCAAGTTGCTATGGCCGCCGCCGCAACTGCTCATTCTCGACGAGGTGACGACGCACCTGGACGCTGATACTATTTTGGGTCTCGTGATGGCGCTGCGAGAGTACGATGGAGCGCTGGTGGTGGTGACACACGACCGGTTCTTCATGAGGTGAGATTATTGCAGTCAATAAATAGAGTTCTTACTAACACCCCGCAGAACGGTGGTGCAGAGGGAGTCGGCGTACAAGCTAGCGCCAGGGGTTCACGCGTCCGAGGGCGAGGCTGACGACAGCAGCGAGTCGGAGGATGAAGCGCCAGGGTTAGCTCCGGGGAGCGTTTTTCGGCTGACTAGAGGGCAGCTCAGGAAGCTTGACGGCGGCATGGACGAGTATGAGGACATTGCGGCGCGGACAGCGGCGAGGCTGGCCAGGGCGGAGAGTAAGTAGAGCGAAAATAGACGCGAGTGCAATTTGTGCGTCGCGTCCAGAGTCCGTAGAGTCCTGTCAGACAGGTCGGGCCCTTTGGTTCGGGCGGGCTGGCTTCCCGCTGCACGCACGGCTGACTGCGCGCCTCCTGCGCGCGCATCATAGTGCCCGGCAGAGGCATTAGGGGCAGCTTTTCGCGCCAAGCCGCAGCGAGATAATATTGCTCCAACGAACGCGTCGCTCCTTTTGCCTGCAGCGTCCAATTGGTCTCCTCTCATTAGCCATTGGCGTGCACTATGCCCATCTTTCCTTGTATACTACCCCTTCCGACCGTAATAGTAATGTCATAGCTGCAGCTATAATCCTTCTACCCAAGGCACGCATGAACGACTCTGCGTATCGAGATAAGCTCGAGCTTGGGAACCCTGAGTAATAATATCTGCAAGCCATCATGGGCGAAACCGAATCGTCCACGCCTCGCTCCACCGCCGAACCACAGCTCAAGGCGGCCAAGGACAAGAACTGTCCCTTTTGCGGCCAGGCCTTCACCTCGTCCAGCCTGGGACGCCATCTGGACCTGTACATCCGCCCGAAGAATCCAAAGGCGCCCGATGGCGTGCACAATGTCGACGAGATACGGAAGCTGCGAGGCGGCATCACACGGCGGCAGGCCAAGGGCAGCGTGTCAACACCGCGGAGAGACGACAGCGGCACGAGCACGCCCGCGAACAAGAAGCGCATAGCGAGCGAGGATTCGGTCCTCGTGCAGAGCCCGGAAGACGACGATGAGCCGCTCGAGGTGGGCAAGACGAGGGGGCAGTTCAAGGATGTCAGCTGGGGAAGCGGCCACCGGCCCTCACGACTCAACACCAAAACGCCAGACCCGCGCCGGGACGTATCGCGGCAGTCGCGAAAGGCCGAGCTGGACCAGAGGCAGAAGTCGAACGAAGAGAATGAGATTGCGAGTGCCACCGAGATGGCGCTGCGGGAGCTGCTGAAGAGCGTGCAAGTAGCCAAGTATGTCACCAATTCACTCACCATATATCCTGCTAACAGCACCAGCGCAAAAGCATCCGGCTCCGGCCTCTTCGAATTCGACCCCTACACCCAGAGCTTCCCCTCGCTGTGCCTCCAGATCCTCCCCGCGCCCTCTACCCTCTTCTCCCCCACGCCCTTTCCCACGTCCGAGTCATGGTCCATCACCCCGCCGGGACAGAAGCAGTTCGAAGCGCTGAATAAGCAGGTCCGCGAGCGTCTGCTTGCCTACCAGCGCCAGCGCCAGATCAACCAGGTCTATCCCTCGGGCTCGCACTCCTCCGCTCCTTCCACCAACACCTCGCCCCTGCCCACCCCACCGCTCTTCGACCACGACCCACAACGCCTCTTTGGGCACATTGCAGACGCCTTCCACCACTGGACACAGCAGTCAGATAAGACGAGGCAGGAGTGCTGGCAGGTTGAGATACTGCGCTGCTATGCCCGTGCCGACGACAGGCGACGGGAAGCCGAGGTGCAGCTGGGGAATGCACGCAGGGAAATTGAATACCTGAAAGCCAACCGCTGGACCTCAGGCGCCCCCGATGTATCGCCCATCAGCATCAACCTTGGTACCGACACGGCTAGGGAGCTTGCCAAGCACGGTATGGACTACCGCAACTGGGACTACGACCGCCTCATCGACAAGTGGCGGACCGCTATACGCGAGAACAGGGCCTCGGTCTCCGGTATGGGCGCGCAAAAGCCATTGCCCGGTGGTACCAGTACCAGAAGCTGCTCCATGGCTAGCATCCCACCACAGTTTGCTACCGTGAACCAGCCCAGGCAAGGCAGCCCAATCAAGGTTGAGTCCAACATGCCCTTCAGCGCGCCGCCCACTGTATGTGGTGATGGAGACTGCGATCAGGTTGATGCAGAAGGCGACGATGACGACGACGACATTGACCTGACGCCCCAAACCATTGAGGAAGATGACTCGATGCATCAGATGCAGCACCAGGCCCAACAACAGGCCCTGCATCACCCCCAGCCCCAACATCACCACGGAGCACCCCTCCAACCCACCCCGCCACATCCTTCGCAACAACAGTTTCAGCCACACATGCAACCCACCCAGCACATCACGCAGGCCCAGATTGCTCAAGCCCAGGCTCAAGCCCAAGCATGGGCAGCCGCACGCCAGCACATGAACCAGTCGCGCAACCAAGACTTCCGGCCCCACCAGCAGCACCAGCTCTCGCCCCATGTGCAGCACGTCGGCTCAGCTGACAGCAGTCGCCGAGAATCGCTAGCTATGATGGACCCCCACGCCATGAACCAAAACAACATGAGCGGCATGGGCAACTCCATGGGCATGTCAAGCGGCATGGACGGTCTCGACAGCCACCAAGACCAATTCCTGCGCATGGACATGGGCATGTCAACGGGCTTTGTCGGCTCCAACGACCCCAGCGTCTCGATGGGTTGATCGAAGTCTCGAAACTGTTTGATGCTGTTCGTATAACAGCATAAATTGTCACCAAACCGGCGTCGGACTCTTCGGGCAAAGGCGTAACGTGATACACGGAACGCGATACACGGAACAGTCCACACTCTACAGCGATATTTCCCCTTTTCTCCATCTCCGACATATCTCCTATCTACTGCAAATTTTCGTTTGTCTTTCTTATCTTTCTATAACTACTACTCAGCTCGGCTTTTCGCTATACCCATTATACCCGGCCTTGCAGCTTGATACCCCCAGTTCAATTTTCCTTTATCAACCAGAACGGCATTTTTACTTACCGCAACATCTCTTACACATATATACGTACTAATAAGCCTCTTCTCCTCTTTCTTCTTTTTTGTACTCAGCTATCGAGATTGTTATCAGCATCGTTTTTTGTTTTTCCTATGTAGATGTCTACACAACATGCCTTCGTTGGCACTGGCGGGCAAATGTCGTTGGTTGCACCGTACTCACATGGGAGGTCTTTTGTGCTGTTTTAAGTTGTATATACCCAACACCAAACTTTTCACTTGTTAGATATTAGAGATATGGGGGGTGGATAGGATAGGATAGGATGGAGGGTGGAGTGGGTGGAAGAATCGAATTTAAAAATACTTTGAAAACGTGGACGTTTTGTGATGCGAGGCTATGAAGTTTTTGCGTGTGCTGCTAATGTCGCACAGAACGAGATGAGACATTCTGCGTGCACCGCATGGTATCGCCGACGCAAGCAGATTGAACGAATCTGATAACAAAGTCGAGATGACGCCCTCATCTTCGTCAACATCATCTACACTAGGAGGACACAGACGCCGCCGTCATACCCCCTACGCAAATGGATTCATCGAACGACGACATCCAGAATCAAAACAAGTCCCGTACATTCGTCCTGCGTCCGTCAACAGCATAGCCGTCACGTACAAGAAAATAAGCCCTGTGACGAAGACCGAGATAGCCGCCAGCGTTCCCACCCTCATCTCAGCACCACAGGTGGTCCAGCTGCCTTGATACGGAGTCAGCGGTCTTCATTGCTGCATCGCGTAAATCGCGTAAATTGCTAATAATGTAGCGGAGTCGTCTTTTACGGCAGCGCCGTTTCCCGTCTGCGCAGAGTGTCAGGCGAAGGGTTGATCGGGCGTAGAGGATGCGTTTGCGGAAACGTGCGATGGGGCGCATGGTGATATGGAGCGTGGATGGGCGGTGTGGAAGTGTGGAAGGATAAGAGAGTGTTGGCGGATTGAAAGGCAGACATAGGGTGAAGTTTGGTGTGGATTCCATGGGTTTATGGAGAAGCAGCTGGGTTTGGCATGTGATCCAAGACATGGACTGGTGACGAAGGCACCGGAATGGTAGATGGACGACACAAACTGCTGAACGGAAGTCGAAATGCGCGCTCACACTTGGAGCAACATACTTTACCGCTGGTCCATCTCAACTGGGTTGGAATCAGAATTGAAAAACTTGACGGCATGTCTGGAGCACCACGTGGAAACCGAGGAAACAGTAATGGCCGGAGAGCAAGAAGTTCCACTAACTTCGGCTTCCGTGAGATAGGTAGAGGAAGCTTCAATAACACTTTGAATGGCGGAGCGCTCAATACTTTCGAAGGTGGAAGGGGTAGAGGAGTTGGCAACGGCCTTCCGATCAGAGGCATGGGACGCGGTACTAGGAGGGAAAATTCCTCATCCGCTTCAGAACAAGATGCACAGATCGACAAGGACTGGTTCGAAGAGAATCAGGTACCCAAGGGGCCCAAAGCCGACCAGCAGAAGACGGAGGAGGTATCGGCCGTCCCACAAGGAGATGCGCATAGGGACAACCAACAACTGATACCGCGGGAGCCAAAAGCTGACAGACTGGCAAAGAGTCGGCAAGTAGACACCAAGCTCGTTCCCGAACAAGACGCACATATCAAGAACGAAGGGATCGAGGAGAACCAGCAGTCAATACCGACGGAGCCGAAAGCTGACAGACTGGCGAGGAATCGGCAGGCAGAAGCCAGATCCGTTCCAGAACAGGATGCACGTCCTGAGGACGAACAGATAGAGGGAAACCAACACCGAATACCCACAGGGCCACGGGCTGACAGACTGGCGAACAGTTGGCAAACAGAAATTGAACAAGATCTTTACAGAGATGCCGCAAGACGGGCATACGTGCTGCTACGTCCCTCACCAAAGCACCCACGCCGGGAAAGCATCCACGCACGTCCTATCCCAACACACAGTCGGTCACGCTCACCAGAGGAAGAACGAGAATTTCTCTCTTCTTTCCCTCCACTTCCCTCATCACCAGCAGCGAACCCACGTCCACCGCCGCTGAACCAACCACCCCCATCTGTCACCACATCTGCCGCTCCATCTGCTAGACCTGCGCGAAGGGAAGCATGTTCGACTAATCCTACCGAGAGGACATTTCGCAAGGTAAGCGCGGCTTCAATGTCAACACCATCGGGCTCGACGGAGGAAGATGATGGCAATCTCTACGATCCGGATAAGACTGAAGAGGAGAAAGAGAAGATACGGCAGGAGATCAATGAACATAATAGGGGCCTGCTGGACCCGCCATGGTCCGGTCCAAGCCTGGGTTCTGAGATGGAGGACATTCAGCGTGGTTAGATCGGTATCTTATACGTTATTTCCTGTGGAATTGGATGAAGCAATCTCGTCACACCTAGGTATACAAGAGAATCAAGTCTCTCGCGAATGTCTGAGCTCTTGCGATTTTGACAAGGAAGCTATTGTGCCGATAAGTGAAGGTCACCGAAACGTGCCTTCCTCATCCTTGGGGGTGACTGCCACTTCATCAACTCCATGACAGCATTTTCCTCTTTCAGCCAATGACGTCCGAAACTTACGATGGCAGCTCATTTGCGCCTGCCATCAACGACGACAACCATTTCAACCCACATGAAGTCACTTCCGCATTCCCGCCTTCACCTCTTCTACATTACTGTTACCGCCGTGCATCACTCAGCGTACGACATTCTCGCAAACAGTTCCTTCGAATTCACACAGCATGACGGCTACCACTACAGAACAGACGACTACTACAACCATTAGCAAGCATGGAACGGCGAAGAAGTGGCTGCAACGGCATCTTCGCAAAGTGGCATCACGACAGACCTTGAAGAACGATGAGGGACCAGTTGAGATACGGCGAAAACCGTCAGTCAGGCGGCCGCGTACGGCGCCTTCGACAGGAGCGACACCGAGCGTGCAAGATGCACCAGCAGTACCCCCGCTCCCGATACTTGTAGAGCGGGTGTCGCCTCGACCACCGGTTCTACCTCCTCTTCGTCCAGCGAGACCTGATTCTGGCGTGATACGGGACGTCAATGCATGGCTCGATGCCAGCATGAACACGCCTTCACCCCCGCTCATGGGAGGCCTTTCGTATTGGAGAGCAGCGACAAATGTAGGTACCAAAGACTCGGCCGTGGCTCAGCACGCTGTCCCCGTGGTTGGAGCACCCGAAGTCACCAGACCATCGACAGCCACCAGTCAACACGGAAAGTCGTTCCTTCGTTGCGCCAAAAAGATGCAGGTCCAGATGCCTTCGCTTTTACGAACCAAGTCGCAGCGCCAGGCATGCCGGAAGCAAATCAACAGACAGTCAGCATCAATGCCACTCTTAGCCATCTCCTACGAGGACGTTGCGGAAGCCCCTGGTACCATGCTCATGTCTCGATCTGGATCGCATCGTCGCCCCGTCACAAGGCCATCGACACGACATCCTTCGACGCGCGCCAGTGCGCTTCTGTCAATCGACCAGCAGTCGCAGGTACCCTCCCGGATGGGCACGCCAGCGAGTGCACGACACGGCGACACAGAGAGCGTCTTTGAGCGCCGTCTCAATGCCATATTTATGCGCACAGCACGAAGCGCAGACAGCACCCGGCCATCGACAGCAGCGGCCGGTCTCATCCGCGAAGACTCGATGGGCGACCTCTCCGACGCCCCGACATACTTCTCGGGACCTCCACCACCTTCTTACCGGTCGCGCCCTGAATCTCTGCTCAGCACTTCTTCTTTCGGCTGCATCGATGGCATGAACCCTACACAACGACAGATCAGTCAGCAGCGAGCGGCATTACAACGGGGAATGAGGTGCAAGCTGAAGAGATTCGCTCAAGGACTTGCAACATGAGAGCGACATGAGAAGCGACGACAAGGCAGACGCGAGGTTAAGGCAGCAGCGAACGACTTGTACAGAATGGGACACGAGACCACGATGATGACTGACGAAGGAATGACCGGAAGACATATACCATATACGAGCACATGACTATACGACTGTTTACCTTGGAGAGCTGGCATCTTCATACCCATAACAGGGGGGTTACTCTTTCAGTCGGTACACTGAGGGATGCGCAAGGCGCGCGGTATTTAGCACAACTGCATTAGATATAACGTAGCGTCTTAGTTTATAATGAATAATGCAGATACAGCACAAGACGTGTCACGAAGTGATGTTGAATGCGCGGTAGTGAAGAGGCAGCGAGAGGTGAGAGCACGGTCATATGACGTGGGGACGGGCCGCGGTGAACCTAAAGCGGTTGGGGCGTTTTCACCGCCTACTCATTTGATGGCCGGGCATGCACTCCACCAACTCCATCAACATCATTGGGCCCAACGTGGCACGCTGTACCACGTCTAACGCTCCAACGCACACAATTGAATCTCCATGGCCGCCCGTTGATCCGCTCGGCTGCCAGCACAACGAAACCCAGCTGGCTGCTCCACTCGACTCCTACGATCCGCAGACTTGCATCATTACGTGCAGCTCCCACAGCCAAACGGCTCCCCGACCTCACCTCCCTCGACACGCGCACGAACGTAAGCATGGCCTCGGCAGACGATTCTAATTCGCGGCCCCAGAGGCCAGCCGCCATGACCAGACAGTCGTCGTCGCAGTCGCACATCTCGCAGTCGCCGTCCGAGGGCGCCCAGCGCTCAGCCCATCACAAGAGCCAGCGCCATCATGTCGTCGGTCAACGCGTGCAGCGGAACACGTCCTTCGGCAAGAACCTCAACAAGCTGAGCAAAGCCGAGAAGCAGGCCCAGCAGGCGCTCCAGGGCGCAGAAAACACCGGGCGACACCACCGCCGCTCACAGTCGGGCAATTCCATTTCGGCGCCCAGCAGCCCACACGCGCGTCCCGGAATGAAGCGCCATGCATCTTCCGGCGCCGTTGTGAGAGCAAACACGCAGCAAGCAAACCTGCGCAAAAACCACTCGAGCGGCCATCTCCCGCCGCGGCAAGGGCATGCGAAACATGCGCTGAAGGGGTCCAAGAACGAGAACGCTACTTCCAAGCGTGCGCTCGCGACTCCCTCTCGGTCTCGGCAAAGTTCTCCGGAGCCACACGCCGCGGTCCACTTTGACATGCCCAATGACGACGAGGAAGGAGACGAGGGCGGGTGGACTGAAGAGAGTGCGTCACAGTCGCCCACTACTACCCGATCCAACACGCGCTCCAACTCGGTCATACTCGAGGCACAACACAGAGCGGCGGAGATCAACATGGAGAAGAATAGAGGAGAGCCGCAACAGTCGGCTGGTATAGTTCGAGAAGCGCCCAACCAGGCGACTCAGACGCTCACCGACCGCACGCGCACAAACACGCAGGTCAACGGCGGGAGTTCCTACCAACATTCTCGACCTCCAGATGCTGATATGATCACATCACGACTACTACAGCGCAGCGCCTCACACCATGTCGCTCCCCAGACATCGTCAGTTGCTGCAACCGTCGTATCCTCCTCCGATCGTCATAATCTGCTCAGTCACACAGCTGGGTCTGTTGGATCTACGCTGGTAGACGCGCCGGGGCACAACCTCGTATCGCGCTTCATGGACGGAGACGGTTCCGCTGGGACACCTCACGATGGCGAGTACATGGCTGCGCATCAGCTCAAAGACGACACCGATGAAGGGGAGATGGACAAGATAAAGCGCAACAAGTCAATGCCAAACTTCAAGGGCGGCGCGGACACACCCTCCAAGACGCCTCAGCGCTCTGGCACGACTACGCCAACCAACTTACCCCCATCGCGGACACAGCAGAAGCTCATGCTTCAACGTGCGTCGTCCAACATTGAACCGCAGAAGCTCGTTCCCGTAACGCTTCCCCGCACGGGCGGTCCCACATACCTTCAGTCCAGCATCCACTACAACGGCAATGGTGAGGGGCGCCTAGATCCACGCCTGCAGCAGCAGTTCAACCACGTCGCGGTCGAGTACAATGTAGTGCGAAGATACCGCAACCCAATTGCAGACGCGCTCGCACGAATCTACCAAACCCCTGGCATGTCACGCAAAATCCGCGTACCCAAGTCGCACGGCGCAAACGGCTTCACGACAGGAGCCAGCAGCCTGAGCACAAGTTTCAACGAAAGCGGCGTCGAAACAGATGGGACGGGCTCGCGGAGATCACGAGTCAGTTTCGACCATGATGCAGGTCGCGGCAAGACTAGTCGCGACGAGAACGACTTTCAACAGAGTTTCGAGAGTGACCAGGCGCGCAGCCGAAACGAAGCCGAGGAGATCTGTCGCCGTTTATGGGAGAGTGCCGAAGTAGTCGAAGCCGACTGAAGACAATAGTGTGGTTTGTTTGGCGACAGGCGCTGATCAAACATTCACGACTCGCAGCGCGGCCGCTCTGTTTGCGTCTTTTGCGACTATTGTGTGAGGGGATTGCCGAGACTGTTTTACTGTGCAGGTTCGTGCGTTCGCTTGCTTCCCTTTCTCTGCATTTTGCCGTAGTCTCCGCTGGGGGAGGAGGGAATGAGCGTCTTTGTTCTCCCATCGTGGACTGCACGCACGGGTTGCTATGGCGCAAGGGGGCTTTGTCTAGTCTGGCTGGAAACAGCATGGTGTTGGGGAAGAGGGCATTTGCGAATATTGTCGCGCCGGCAATGAAGCCGAAGAGGCATGCATGAAAGTCGTGGTGGTGGTGGTCGTTGCTGGCTGCATTTGCATTTTGCGCTCAAACTAACTTTTTGCGCGTGGCACAGAGTCGTGGTTCCCCGTCCTAAACCTTGCGACTGGCGGAGGCGTTGGCATGACACGACACACAACACACGACCGTTGGTTCAATCGAGGAAACGAAAGCGAGTGCGATGGAGAGATGATTTATTGTCAAATTTGCGCGCGCGCGCACCCTCGATTTCAATCTGCCGTCCGCGACCGAATTGCAAGCATGCGAGCCTCCTAGGTCGCCTTGCACAGGGCGCGCACTTGCTTGGCTTGAATTGCTTTCATTTGAGAAAGAGCGGAAGTTAGGAGCTGGATTTGCAACGGCTTCAATGCGATGGATGGGTCACGATGCGAAAGGCGGAAATGAGCAAGAAAGAAAGCCCATATTGTGTACTAGTAATGGTAGGGGTAGTGTGCGGGCTAGGTAGGGAGCCAATCATGCGCCATGCTCGCTTGTGTAATTGTAATTTCAATCTTGCCAGCGGAAGATCGTTACTTGTTCCTGTGTGTCAGTGGGTTTCTTTGATTTTCCTTCACGAGATGCGAGTTTCCATTGATGGGGATGTGTGTTGGCGAACGCATCTGGACGCTTCACATGTTACTTTGAAGTGAAGATTACTTTGAGTCACAAGATGCATTGCGTGCATATGTTGAGCAGTACTACGCAAACAAATTCTTTGCAAGAAATTCTCTACACAGTTCCACACCACCATCACAGACAGCAATTCTCTCATCGTTTCGTTGTACCGTACCGTCTCTTCCGCGTTCAGCAACGCCAAGGTGTCCAGGCAACAATAGCCTCGTCTTGCCGCCGACCACGTTGTTCACCTCACCCCGAGGGCTATAGATGGGTATAGATGGGATGGGTCTGAGACGAAGGGCGCTGGTTGGCTTACTGTGTTTCCCAGAACACTTGTCGCAACGGGTAGCGTGCCACGAGTGCGCAAGCTGAGAAGTTAGAAAGGTGCGGTGTAATAGTACGACGAGATTTGTCGTGTGCTGGCTCCAGTCAAGTCACGTTTCCGCCCTGAGTGGCCCGCCCGCCCGGTGTACAGCGTCCAGCAGTCGTGCTGGCCTAGCTGCCTCCAGTCGCGTTTCCGCCTTGGAGGCCGACAGACGGCACGATTCGCTGCGCATTGTTTCAGCGTCCGTGCGGGCGAGGCGCGACACTGTGGACTCAGGCTACTCAGGCTGGAGAGGGAATGTGGAACGCATGGGGTGAGAGAAGTTGCCTGGGGTGATGGGCGTTGAAACTTGGTTGCACCTTGAGCATGGTGAGGATCATGGGGCGTGAACCTTGAGTTCGCAGATGGGCGATGACAGCATCTCACCTGGGCAGCGACTTTCCTCAAGGTTGCCCCTAGCGATTGGAGTGAGAAGTGAGGTCACCACCCGCCCGTCACGAGGATGCAGCAAGCGTGCAGCACGTTGGCCGTCGAGTGGGTACCTCGGTAGTTCAGCGTGCAGCGCTGCACCTCAGGCCAACCACAGGAGCGGGCGCGGACAGGGATGCAGTGCAGAGATTTGCCGTGGCCGCCCATTGCCAAGCGCCAGATCGGCAGCTTCCTTGCTCAGGTACTCCCGTTAGCACGCCCGAACCTGCGTTAGCGCGCCCAGGGGGACCGAAATTGCGCTTTGGCAGTGGGAAATTGCACTGGCGGCAAGGATGCTAGGAACACGATACAAGGCGCCGGGGGCGGCCCACCTTGCTCCCTGCCTTGCCCGTTGTTTCCCCTTCACCCTCCTCAAACGTTGCGAGACAAACCCTCTTTTACTCTCTCTTCCTCGAGACTTGCGATCTTTTAAAGCTTTAAGCTTACCCACACTCATTACATTGACAAGTACTATCCTTGATATCTCACTCTCTCTATCACTTGGTCCAAGACTATCCACACTGCTCTCTCGCATTCCAAACAAAAACAAATCACCGGAGCGAAGCTCATTAGCACCTGCATAACACTTGCAACCCTCACTTCTTCTGATTCGACATCGAAGCACTGCGCATTCACAGTCGCATATCCAACCACCACAACTACTACCGTCCTTCACCACCAACCACCAAAATGCGCTCCTTCACCCAAATCATCACCGCGCTCTTCGCGCTCCTCGTCTGCGCCTTCGCCCAGGAAGACCAGTACGACGCCACCGTCTACATCACCAGCACCGTCTACCGCGTCAACACCGTGACCGCGTCCTCGTCATCCCCCGCCGGCTACACCGCCGCAAACAGCACCAGCACCATCTCCGCCACGCACCCCACCATCGTCCCCTCGTACGCCGCCGGCAACACCACCGCCAGCATGGCCATGCCCACTGCCTCCGGCCCCATGGCTAGCGCCTCCGCCTCCGCGCCCCCTCAGTTCGAGGGCGCCGCTTCCTCGCTCCAGATCAACGGGATGGTTGTTGCGCTTGCGGCTGGTGTCGGGTACCTCGTTCTATGAACGTGAGATTAACGGTTCTTCGCCATCATCGACTGGCAGCGCATGTCTTTGATTTCAACCCCAACCCTTTTCTCATGTCAACTTTGTTTTCTAAACAACACCCATATCACGAGGATGTATGTCCGTTTACGTCTTGTTCTTGCGTTACCGAGTTTGCGCTTTGCATCATACCCCCTTTTTATCTTCCCCCGCTGGACTTGTCCTCGGGTACCTTTGTTCTACGTTCTAGGATTACCGAATCCTCCCGTCATATTACCCACACCACACTCCTTTGTAATCACACACTATCTTTCTCTTGTCTGCGACGATTGACGAAACTTCGTGGGATTATATCAACAACTACTGGGTAATACTGGAGCTTTGGAATCTTGCCTTTGTTTGTAGTCGACCGACATCTTCCTTTTAGTTACGTTAGTTCGACTCTGTTTTGTTATACCCCCCCTTTTAGGCGCGCGATTAGGACGCTGCTATGCGAATGCGAATGCGATACTTCTCATGCATCGGAGGTCCATACTTTGTACTTGGTTGAACGCGGCTTGCCGCGCACCTCCGATTGTGTTTTCGCTTGCTTTCTGCTGCGCGATTCGCTGCCTACTTCTCTGGTGGAGCTGGAGTTTGGTGATACCCCGATACCTACTTTTTTTTGAGAGAGTGCGATTTAGCTTGGTGTTTTTGTTTGAGAGAGTGGAGGACATGATAGGATAGGATAGGATAGTATAGTTGAGAATGAAGAACTACTTGTTCCGTCAACGTGACTCTTCCAATAAACGTGACTGTGTGCTCAACAACCTTCCCCATCGCCCGCTCACCAACTAAACACTCCGACCCGCCCATCACGACCACAACCAACACCCATCACCCATCACCGATCCAAACCCGAACCCGACCGACCGTAATCACCGTATGCGCCACTGTGTTGGTCTTTCATTCCGACCCTAATACCACCGATAGTTCGCCTGTCCACTGTCAGTTGGCGAAAAGTGGAAATCAGCCGAACATGTCGATCGCTATTACGGCAGCGACCGAAAGAAAGCAAGTACTTCGAACAGACGCATGAGCTAGACGCTGCTAGACAGCGCACGGAGGTCTAGAAGCGAGACTGTGGGGATGCTGTTCGGCAATGGTTGCCGAGTAGATAGGAGGGTGTGGTGGAGTTGGTGGTGACATGGGCGGTGAAGATGCGGTGATTTTGCGAGATAGAGATGGGGTTTGGCAATTGGGCGAATGGGAGGTTGACGATCGTGATAGAGATGGGTTGAGGAAGTTGATAGTGGGAAAATGGAGAATGATGAAATGGAGGTTAATGTGGGCATGTGGTGTGTGTTCGTAGTAGACAATGGTGTGGGTGGTCTACGAGTCCGACGGCTGGTTGCATGTACTCGATTCCGCTGGCTGGTATGAGAGCTGATCACGGTTCAAAAGTGAGGTTTTCACACTGTTTTTTTTTCGGTCTTGAATTACTGCCTTATTATACTCCTTGTTTCACGTGTCTGTAAACATTCATGTCCTCTCACAAATCCATTTTGTCGTAGGCCATGGTGTATACAAAACCCTAGTTCACTTCCACATCTCCATCTGCTTCTACCCTCGCTACCTCACACACCCTCCCCCTCTTCCCAACCCTCACCTACTATCTACTATAACTCCCCCCCACCGGCCCCTCCAACCCAAAACAACTCGCAAAATAACTCACCGTCCCCGCCCAATCCGTAAAAAGCGCCTTAACCCCCACCTCCCTAACCAGCACATCCAACACCTCATAATACTGCCCATCATGATCCACCACATCCGCTACACTCGCGAAATAATACTCCGCATCCCTCTTCACATCCGCCAACGGCCCGCTCCTCTCAAACGTCCAAGCGATAATATCCATGCCATTCGCCTTAATCGCTTTCGCGTACTCGCTCTCCACAATCGTCTTGTTATCCGACCCGCCGATGGATAGTAACATAGGCAGCGATGGCGCGATGATATTCACACCCGCAGCGCGGGCGGTGGACAGATTCGCAAACCCAGCCGCGAGATCATCCGGCGTATCAAACTCCTGCAGATACACAGCCTGAGCACCAAACTCTCCATCATTATCAATCCAATACACCACATCCTCAAACAGAAAACTCTGCGGCCACACGCGATCCGCACTTATCCCCTTCAGACGGAACGCGGATATCATGTCGGATGCGTATTGGGCCTGTGTGTAGTTTCCAAGAAAGGGCATGGGAACGGCTGCGGGTGGTGTTTTCAACTCCGGGGTGAAGTTGCGGTAGCCGGGGTAGGAGTCTACGAGGTCGATGTATGCGTTTAGAGTGAGGGTCTGCGCGCATGTGTCGTAGAGTTCTGTGCGCCAGAGGGGGGTGCCGGCTTGGTAGGTGAGCGGGGTGGTGGCGGAGGCGTTGAAGCCGTCTTGTTTGCTGCAGAGGGTACTGACTGTGTTTTGTTAGTTTGCCTTGATATCGCGGGTAGTGGGGGTGGAGGTGGGGGTGAGATCATACATTCATCGATCGTGATGTCCGATGTACAACATAACGCATTCGCAGGACTCGTTGCATTTGCTGGTGTAAACGGCGCGGTGCATTTTGCTGCCAATTCGGGCCTGAGCAGGATATCTGTCGTTCGGTGTAGATCGCATAGATCGTGTCTGCACACTAATCCCCTGTCGCTTGTGAATGCCACATCGCATTCCAAGATACCGGCGCCCATCCGCGCACCAGCATCTTGAGACCGGATCGACTCTTCTGGGAATTGCAGTGTGCCTCCACCGCGGTGACCGATTGTGAATGGAGAGATAGAAACCGGAGTATTCTCACACGACTGCAGTTTCCGCTTCAATGGGCTATCAGTCATGTTGCTGATGATGTAGTACGGTCGCGGCCCGACAGAAACGAGATAATCCGTCGCATTTTCCAGAGGCGTATGATGGTGCTTGCTAACAGCCGGGTAACCCAGAGCTGTAGCAGCGAGTCCCAGTACCAGAAATTGGCTCATATTATCGACGAAGAGAAAGTGACTTCTTGTAGGAACGAAAAGGACGACAAGAACCAACACACCACCCCTCAACCACAGCCAAAGCCATCCATCTTTTATACCTACCCAACGTCGTCAGCCCGCTCTCGAGCTAAACACCCTTCCCCTACGTCAACGACAGGCTCAATCCACGACCCTAGTGATACCTAGCCATAAGCTGCAGGAACGGACGCATACTAGCCATCCATCCATCCCATGTGCGCGGCACGAAGTGCGGCACGTAGTGGGATATACCCCAGTCGCCAAAGCTTGATCAAAGCTTGCGTGAGCTTCATCAGCGTGAGAAAAGCTTAGTTACGTCAAGAATGGTGGGCGAAACGGAAGACACGGACGGGTCGCAGTCACACGTGGGCAGGATAGGCGGATGTCGTTCAACGCGCGCGCATGTGTAATCGGTTGGGATTGCGCCAATCGATTAGCGCATGTGGGGCGCATGCGTGTACTCCATAGGTTAGTGCGTCCCCGCGTGTCAACCCGGGAACGGCAATACGGTATGGGAAGACGAATTATTGTAGTGCAACGGCCATTGTGGTCATATGTTTTAAATTCAGGACTCGAAATGCGAGGGGAATAACGTTGCGAAGTACAGCTTGTGAGTCGTTTCTGTACGGACATCACGGGATCTATTCAACTACCCAACTCTTCCATTCAATCTACCTACTTCTCCAACCTCGCAGCCCTACTCTCATCCCTCCACCACTCACATTGACGCCTCCTAATCGCATCTCCCTCCACCCTGCTATTGCCAAACGGCTCCATCCTCAACTGCAACCCTGGCCTACCCTCACCCTCATCCTCATACTTTGGCCAAACCGGTACACCAGTCCTGTTCCCCGCATTTGGATCGCCCAACGCAACAAAGTCGGAGAAGTACGCATTGAGTAGCTCCTTGCCTACTTCTGGGTACTGCACACCACCGCTGCCGGCGGGTTCCGCCCATGTGTACTTTGTGTCGGCGGTATGGGGTATGCCTTTCCAAGTAGGGAATGTGTTGTTTACGGCGAAGACCATTTTGTACACGGGAACTGAGGCAGACGACATGCGCATGGCGGTTTCTTGGCCGGCGCAGACGTACATGTAGTCGGTAAGCGCGGCAGAAAGGCGGTTGTATTGGGTGGAGTTTGGGCTGTGGGCGTAAGGGCCGTTGATGTCGTCCGCTGGGTCAGGGTAAAGTTCCTCGAGATCGGAGAGATCGTCGGTGGTCAGACCAGGAATCAGGTTCTTGATGAAGGCGAGGAATTCTTCGTTGGTGGATATGTCGCCTGGGGAGTAGTACTTCGCTTCGTCGACAACGTTGGTGGTGATGGTCGGGATACGGTAGAATTGTTCGTTGATTCCGGATGTCGAGCCTGCTTGTTCAAGGAGAGGGCCGCCTCGCGTGGGTTGGAATGGCCACGTGATGGGGTATTCTGAAGCGCGCCACAGCAGAGCGCTGGCGTTCTGGATCGCATCGATGGGGACCGAGCGCAGGCAGCTGAGGATTTCGGCATCGGTGCTGTTGGCTACTGCGCTGCAACCTGTGTAGCTAAGGTATTGCGCAAACTGCTCCTGGTACAACGGGTACGATGCATTGGGGAACGCTCGAGCAGTCACACTGCCGGATTGGAGAAGAGCTTGCGAGAAGAGCGCTGGTGTATCCTCGGTTTTGTTGTAGTTGTGGAAGAGATGAATGCCGACTGAGTGCGCACCAGCTGAGCGACCTCCAATCGTGACGCGAGAAGCATCGCCTCCAAAAGCAGAGATGTACTTTTGAACGAACTTGAATAGAGTTTCCTGATCGCGGAGTCCGAGGTTGAGAAGTCCTTCGCGCTCAAAGACTGGAGACGGGAGGAAACCCAGAGAGTTGACCTGGATGACATTAGTCTGAGTCGTGTACGAACGATAGCCACACTTACCCTGTAGTTGAAAGTAACAACCACAAGCGGCTCCCTCGAATTAGCCACGAAGGAAGCACCATCGAAGCTTCTCGCGCTACCAGCAACGAAGCCGCCCCCATGGATCCAGATTAGCACCGGTAGTTCCGCATCTTCCGCAACGCCCTGCGGCCGGAAAACATTCATGCTCAGACACGCCTCGTCCAGTTCATATGGGAGTTCGTCTGGATCCTGGAAACACGAGTATCCATAACTGCTCGCATTCTTGATCCCATGGAAAGGCTCAGGCGCACTAACAGGCGCGAATCGTGCCTCTCCAACAGGCTGAGAAGCATAATCGATACCGAGCCAGGCGTCTACAGCGCGTGGTAGAGGCTTCTTCGTCAGAGTTTGCGAGACCGTGGTGCCGACAAAGGTGCCGTAGCCGGGAAGCGTGACTGCAGATGAGGTGTTGTATGCTGCAGAAACGCTAGATACGCTGGTGGTGAGCAGCGCGAAGCTGGTAAGTAGTCGCTGAGCCATGCTGGTGTGGCCCATAATGGCGTCGATGCGGGAATGTAGAATTCACACGACGCGTTCGCACAACGCTGAAGCCAGGTCCAGCGGCGCCATCGTTGGATTGTATATAACAACATCCGACGTATGCTATACTTCCGAGATCGGTCGTATACCTTGTCCTGCGTTGCATTCGTATCGACGTTCGACTCCACTCTCGACTCCACTACCCCACAATCCGCCTAGTAATCAAGGGCGCGATGGTCTTGGTACCTGCTACATGCGGCGGCGACGTACGCCAACGCGGAGATACGCGTTATGTCGGCTGTTATCTGGCATCGGCAATTCGTCGGTACTTTATCTGACAGCCGATCGGATGGCATCCGACGGCGACGGATGTTGATAAGTGAGGGCGGATAAGTGTTGAGGTTGGGAGATGCAGGTTGCGCGAGCGGAAGTTTGCCGGATCCGGGTAACGAAACCCCGGGGGCCGAGCACTCAAGCCACGGCGGTATAGATGTCAACGAGACGGGTTGACCATGACAGTCGGATATTGTTTTCGCGATAGTTCACTAGAATGCGGTCCTGCCAGTTGCATACGCATTTGCTTGCCTACTCTTGTCTACTAGTATTAGACGTACCTAGGTATGTGCCATATTGACCTGGCCTCAGACATACTGAGCCTTCAAAGGGCATGAAAGAGCTCCTGCTATCTATACCGTTGCAAAGTCTGTTTCGAACAGTCTTCCGTCGTCTTCTGCACAACCAAAAAAGGCATGTCTTTGGAAAGAACCCGTGACTATGCCTGCGCCGCAATCTACAGCTGATTGCCGATGTCCTGGATGCTTACTTCGGTCTCTTTACGGTAGTCAATACATGCATATGCCATGGCGAATCTAGCGAAGCTGTTGAGAACATCGCTGTTGCGTTTGGTTCGTCCAGCTGCGCGCTGAATCCGTTATCATTTTTGAATTTCCAAATTGAGCTGCTCCCGAAATAGGAGTGTTCGTAATAGGCTGGGTACCCTACCCGAAAATAGAGTGATGCTCGTTTGTGAGTTCTCGATTCACGAGGAAGTCCTTGGCCTCTCAAAGTCAAGAATTTTTTTTTCACTGGCCCTTCCGCATGGAGCAGTATAGTTTTACCATCGACATTTTGGATCTTCCTCTTCCAGCCGTTTCTCTTTTCTGCTGATGTAAGGTGGATTGTGTGGACCAGATCTCCATCAAGATCCTGGAATAGCAAATGCGGTTTCTACGAAGCATCAGTATGTCGAATTCGTGTCTCAGGATCTTGAGACTTACACGTCGAATCTTGAACACGATGGACGTTTTAAGCTTGAGGTGTGGGTCTGTTTGCATAACATAGCAGATCGCATTTCCGTTGAGCACTCCCCGCTTGATCTGTAGGCTGATCGCGATGTCTTCGAAGGACTCCGAATCGTGGGTTTCTGGATTGACAGTACTGCGCCGGAGAGTGAACTGCTTGCTCGTTCCGGTGAATACCTCTTCAAGAGTTACATCGACATACTCCCGGACCACACGTGGCCCGCGCGACTTATCGTGGCAAAGGCTTTGGTCGACCCAACACCTATCTTGCTCGTGAAAGTGATATATTTCTTCGGATTTCACAACTTCATAATACCACCGATGATTAGTCAGGTCGATAAGCGTGCTTTCATGTTCAGTTGGTTCGGATGAGTTCGTGCGCTTGCTACTCGTCTGGTACCGGAGTGCGCGTTGTTCTAGATCAGAAATAGAACGAAGAGTAGAGCCATCTTCTGGGGCTTTGTGGGCTTCGAGATCGGATGATTCAGTAGGCGTAGTCCCCTTCTGATACCGGAGTGCAAGTTCTTCCTTGTTGGGTGGCTGAGTCGGCCCAAACCTCTTCCGGTACTGGGGTGCGCGTTGTTCTCGATCAGAAATAATGCGCGGAGTAGCGCCACCCTCTGGAGCTTCGTGGGCTTCCGGAGACTCTTGCATATCCTCAGACTGACTATTTTGCTCGTCCACGTCGGACCCATCACCTGAAGACTCAGGGCTGCTGTCGCGTATGTGGCTGTCGTGTCCGGCAGCTTCGCTGTTCAGAGGTTCTTCTATATTACTTGTCTCAGAACTGTTGCCGCTTGAACTGCCATCATCCTCGATAGCGGCGACATCGTTATCAGGCGTCGACAGCGGTTGTGAGGTTTCCGTGTGTACTCGTTCCACCCAGGCGTGAACTTCATATGACACGTCAACATCGACTTCCGTCATATTATCATCGAGGACCTCGTCTTCCAACGCTACCACATCCTCCGAGTTCATGAACGTTGTCGCATCGCGCCTGCCCGCAAGGACGTCCAAATGGATCCGATCCAGTTTCGCCCGGATCTCCAGGAGTGACAGGTAATGCGCCTCAGTATTTCTCTCGATCCTAGAGAACGTGCTGACATTGATGCCGGTCAGCAGCTGTTGTAGCCGGACACTATGCGTCGCTATCTTCTCCCGTATCGCCGCCTGCTTTCCAGTTGTAAATGCGAGTCTATCTCGGTACCGCGCATCGCGTTTGTCGAGCGAGCGGAAGTCATGTAGTATCTTCTTGACCGAGCGGAGGTCGGCTTTGCAGTCTTGCAAGCGCGCAGCGAGCTCGCCTTTCTGCGCGAGGGGAAGCTGCTGGAACGAGGACTGGGGGTTCTTGCACTCGTCATCTAGAGCGAGGAGGAGTGTGCGTAGAGAAGCCACTATTGTGCGCCGCGTTAGTGCTTGTACGAGTCGTGTTAGCGTGGGAAGCACTTACCATCTGATGTGATCTCCCTGAAGTTGTCACCAGCGTTCTTACACGACTTGTAGACCGAGTACGCGTAGTTGCCGACTAGGACTATGTCACCGATGGAAAACCCGAAGCTCGCCATTGCATGGTGTGCGAGGAATGACGCTCAGGTCGTAAGGATCGGTGATTGAAGTCATATTCACGTCCGGTCAAGGCTGTGTTGATGCCGATGTGCTTCGGCAAGGCTGTGCGATTGTGGCGGGGTTATGCGTGCATTGGCGCCACGCGAGCGCGTTTCCGCATAGACCAGGGGTGTCGTCGTCACTACAGGAAAGTGCATTCCATGGATTACAGATGATAATACGCCCCGACCAATGGAATGTGTACAGATACCAGTTTCAGTTTTATGTGTGATCAGATGGGTAGGCGGGATACTCATCAAATTTAGAGAATTATTTCAGTGATACCTAAGGCACCTTACATTCAGAGAGTACAAAAATGCTAAACAGATGATAATAGTGTCGTTGCTCTCGAGATGAGATTTCGACTGATATTGCGCCTACGGCGAACGCCGTTGCCATGACCGGAAGCAACGCCAAATAAAAGACCTATGCATAGTGGACTCCGCCATACCGAATCCTCTCCTCCCATATTCCCGTTTTCTTCATACCCCATCCCCCCTTCCCTCCCCATCTTATATACTCTCCTCACCACCAT